TTCTCATAGTACAATTTATTCCTTATTATTGAGATAAAATTGAATTCAATTAATAACCAGTCATTGATAAGCAAGTTTTTATTCTTGACAACGGATTATTAATAAAAACTGAATGATAAAAAACAAACCAAGTAGACTAAAAAAATCAAGTTTGATAAATTTTATTTAACAGGAGATTAATCTTTGGTATATTGCATAATTATAAATTGAAAATGCAAGCTTGACAATAGTAAGGGAATAGTAATCAGAATGTAGGGAAAATAGTAATTGATAACAAAAGTAACCAGTGTATCTTATACTCATGTAAATCAGTCAGGAATTATGTAATTAAATATCATAAAACTTCCTTTATAACATTCTAGTGTTAATGTGAGACCACAGAGTCGCGTGATTGCCTCAGTAAAATATTCAACATCGACTTGTAGCCATGGAAAAAGCCACGCGGTTTGTACCGGCGCGGTGGAGAACATGGGCATACCAGATATCAACTCGTAGTCTTCTTGGAGGCTACAGAGTCACGCGTGCTCGAAGAAAGTGCTTCAAAGGTCAACCCAAGCTCACTAGTTGTCTCAACAAATGCCAATCTACTTACGAAACATATTGGAACAATGATACCAAAGGGTTTTAGTTACCTTGGATGCAATTCTCAAGAATCTGCATGACACATTAGTGTTAAAATCTAAGCTATCTGTTGACATTTTATATTGCTAACTATACATATTATGCATACATGTAAATAGCAACTAGTTAGATATTTAATACTTGAAATACATCATCCTCTTGACACTGAAACCATAGACTACTCGTTGAGATTCACTTTAACCTTTTATGGAAGATCCTCAGGCTGAGTAAAAGCAATTGGCAACTCTCAGGGCTGACTTCTTTTGTCTCAACAACTCGTTTGTTCCTCAACACTGTGACCCTAAGCAATTTTCAAGAATTTGCATTTAAAAGTTTCATTATTTTCATTAATCAACTCTAAAAACATTTGTTCACATTATCTCTTATCTATTTTTCTTTCCAAGTCAATACAAATTGTATCTTTCTCAATGACTATCATTACATTAAATCTCATAATCCTTCAGGAAATACATGTGATTAGGAATGGCATTTGAATGAAAAAAAGGAAAAGAAAGAACATGAATCTAATTATTTTATTATCATGTTTTATTTTCAATCTAAAGTGCAGTAAAGTTACTGTTAATTTAAAGATTCATGATATGATGATCATGATGTAGTTGAAAATATAATTTTTAATACAAATAAACAATTTCATCATCTTTAGAATAATTAATTTCAATAATATGTACTGTAAACTATGTTGAATGATAAATTTCAATCATAACGGATTATAAATGACCGTATAATTTCTATTTTGGGTTATCTCCCAGTTGAATCTCCAAGATAGAAGTACTAGCATTAAGCACAAAGTCACTATTCGAATTATCATTTTCAATTAGAGAATACGGAGTGTTTGAAGAAAAGGCGGGGATGAATAAAAAAGATTAGTGACTTGCTTTATGTTGATAGAAGTGCGTTAATATCGAAGAGAAAAAGAGATTGCGACGGTCGTGAAGAAGGACAAGAGATTGAACATAGCGCAACACACCAGGGAGAACATCGTTAGGTCGTAGGCCGTCCATTGCTGCGTCATTTCTTGCATGATTTGTACACGCGTAACGCCTCCTGCACGCCGGCATCATCTCCACTGCATGTGCATTGGTGTGAACCACACTACCGGCACTCTATGTTACCACAAACGATGCTATGGACAACAATGTACATGCAACACTTGGAATATTTTAATGGCAACAACATCCAACATGGAACACAACGCCCCTTGGACACGCTGACTATATTGATGAATAATATTCTACACTCAAGATGCAGCTATTATTTATGTATTTCAAGTTGAAAGTAACACTGCCGAGAGGTCAAAAATTAGAAAAAAAAATCATCTTACATTAACCAGGTGAAGACGATGATTTGACAAATAAAAAACTAATCGTTAGACAGCTGTTGACGTGTCGAAAATATTCAATCAATTTTATTACTCAAGTTTGATTTATTGTTTTCTTCAGACTAATGGTATTATTTTATACCTTTAGATGATCTTTATATTAATGTACAAAGTGAGGGTGATAAGGATCTTTTAAAAATCATCAAATCAAATGTTTTGGGTAATTTAAAAAAATAGGAAACTCAATTTAAAGTCTATATCACTGACAAACGTACGAAAAAAGGAAATAATTTACAAAGTTTGTGGGGAATTTTTATTTATAAATTAAAGAAGGGAATTTTATTTATTAATTTACTAAATTACTAAATAAAACAATTTTTTACTGAGATCAAAATTTTTTCTCTTTGTGTACACGTATCAAATTTTACAGTAATTTTTAATAGCCAAATAAAATTTACTAGCAAAAAAAAATTAAAAATCACTAGGTTTTTTTTTTTAATAAAAATAACTTAAAAAACAAAATATCTTAGCAAAAAGTTTTGTTCTGGTCAATAAAAATTACCAAAAAAGTAATAAAAATTCCTATTTTGGTAATTTTACTGTAATTTTTAGTCAATTTAAATTAAAATTTACTAGAAAAAAAAAGAAAAATTACTAGGTTTTTCCTTTACCAAGTTTTGCAGCTATTTTTATTTCAAAAAAACCCCAGTATTTTGTATTTTTTTTTCCTAATAAATCTTACCATTAATTAAATAGAAAAATTACTAGAAAATTTTATCTATCTATAATAATTATTTACTCTACTTAAATTCAATAAAGATTTAATTGTGTTGATGATAATTATTTTATCTATTTTTATTTAATATTTCCAACTGTGTGTGTTATATATTTAAAAAAAAAAAAAAAACATCAAGTATTATTATAGGAACGTTAATATTTCATTGAGCGAAATATTTCAACGACATTTGAACACCCTGAGAGAGTTGTCTCATTCGAATGGACGTCGTGTCATTTCCTCTACGATAATGATAGAGTACGAGCAGAACAAAGTTCGCCGGTCCAGCTATTAATGCGAATAATCATAGATGGGCAATGGGGGAGGAATTATTGGTGTTAATAATGCCTTTTCGAATCTCACCAGACCTTAACCTACTCTTGGGTGTCGAGCTAAATTGCAAAAAGAGAATTGAGAAAACATGTCTCCTATGAACTAATGTATGGTCAATAAAATTAAGACACACAGAGTGTTTTGAATGTATAATTATCTTCAATTGTATTCTTTAATAAAATTTTTTTTTGCTGTAAAATTAAAAAACACAAAAAAAAATTAATTAACATAATACTTTATTTGGAGTGGAGTGTAATTACATATACAATATAATAGGGGTAAAAATAATCTTATTTTATTAGGAGTTAATTAAAGAGATAAATAAAATAAAGAGTGAAATGGAGTATTTTAAAACGAAGGGTTGTAAGCGCGTGCGTAAGATTAAACTTGTAGACGCGCAGAAGCCAGTAACCGAGTCGAATCAATCTGGGGGAGACCACACCCTTATTTGAACCACTATAACGAGTACCAGGAAGAAGCAATACGTCAAAATGGCACAAGTTAGCGGCCATTTTTGCGCGATAATTCAATATAATTGACGGTGAAGTAATGGGAAATGATTAAGAAAATATATTAGCATCATATTGATGGAATAAAATTGAATTCACGGTACTTTATGCTTCTGATGATTACTTGAAAGGGTTTTTACACGGTAGATTTTAGCCGGAAGATCAAGAAATGTTTTGTATAAACGCATGGCGCCATGCCCGGGGCTGAAGAAAGACCGCAAGGGGCTGAACTTCAAACGAAGAAGAAGAAGAACATTGCGTACACACAGAACGGATGAACGCGTAGATTCTATCTCTCCATTCACTCGCCTCGGGTAATAAAACTCCACGTCCATTATTTACTTGCATTATCGTTATTTTACGCCCACAAACTCCATATTTATGGTGAAATTATTCAACATTATTTCTCAGATATGAATGAAATGGCTGATTTCAGGGGATAACATGTATCTTTAAGCCAAAGCCGCTTGTCTTCTAGACTCTCTGTAGTGTACCCTTTCATTCGATGTTAAGGAGCAAACGAGTTACTGAGACAAAAGAGTTTCAAGATACTTGCCAATTGCTTTTACTTAGAAATAAGAAAAAGAAACAAATCGACATGTAACTTTGTATTATTATGAATGCTCAAGAATTATTTTCAACATATTTATTCTTTACAACCTAACATATAAATCATACATAATTTCATGAAAATTATTTCGTTAAGAAATCATTACATATTTCAATATTCTCCAGGTATATACGATCAATTATTCCATTTACTTTATTACTTATGTATTTCATTTTATCACTTTGTTTATTTGGCGATGATTATATTATGCCATCATAACTTTAACTGCTTTATTAAATTTTCACGACCATTGTAACTTATTGATTCATCTCCACTCTTTTTCAAATTATTTATAGATTATCAATGATTAATAATCTTTTAATTATGGAGATCATTGATTGATAGCAATAATATGTATGAAATTTATATTTAGTAAAGTAGATGAAATTAAAATGAAATTCAAAACTATTTATTTACTGGCTATTATGATAGAATTATAATGGCAATATAACTTCAATTGTTTTATACACTTCATAAAGATGAGAATTACATCAGTTGAAGCGTGTTTTATATTCTTGTTTAAATGTCATCTGCAACGATTTTCATTAAGATAATAATCCTCGTCTTAAATAGCAAGCAGGAAAGAAGAATTACGACCGCATAACTCTTTCGTTTAAAATGCTCTGAAAGTCCAGTTAAAATACAAAAAAGTAAATAGCAGATGTATTATAACTACATGTATAATGATATTATCTTGATTATATTTATGTATATACATTCCCAGATGGTACAATTTTTTAATTAAATATTCTACAGTAATTTAGTAAATCAAAATGATTGATAAATAATACAGTTATGTTTGATTGATTCTAGCAGACGTCGGACTTGGACACGTTGCTCTGTCGACAAGACTTGGAACAGCTTCAGAAACTGGATGATGATGATCCGGAGAAGAGTTCGAGGGAAACACTGCCCATTGATGATTTTTTTGAAACCTCTGGACCTGCAGCATGTCGACCACAAGCCAGTTTCGTGTCTTCAAGAAGTCAACCAGCCAGCAGTGACGACGATGTCTTTCTCAGGCCTCCACTCTGGGAGGATATTACTTCGAGCATTCAGAAGCTTGACCCCGAGAATGCCGACATGCTTGGCTCCCAGTCCACGTCGTCCTCGTCGTCCCACGTCAAGATGGAGACCGATGACGTGACCTCTCCTGTTCTCTCGCCAGTAGAGATCAAGAGTGAGCCTCTACCACCACCCCCACCGACTCTTCACCTTCTTGAGGCTCGTCAGACCAACGTGCCAAGTTTCCCTAGGTCAAATGATCAGTCAGCCCATCAACGGACAGGTCTCAAGACCTTTCAGAATAATAATAACAACAACAATAACAACAACAACAACAACACTACCAACAATAATAACGAATCCCAAGCTAATCATCATAGTCACCAAAGTAGTAATGCTACGTCACCTCTATATGGCTCCATGACAAGGCTCATGTATGTCTCTCCATTGACGCCCCCAATCTCTGACCCCGGTTCACCTCTTGGAGGACCTCCGAGACGAACGCCTCCTCCTCCTTATCCTCAACCACCCATGCTGAATCCTTCACACAGGATTCAGCCTCACGGCATCACCAAATTCAACCGGAGAAACAATCCTGAGCTTGAGAAACGCCGAGTTCATCACTGCGATTTCATCGGTAAGATTATTATACTCATTTTTTATTTAATTAAAGAAAAAAAGAACTAGAAATTTTTTATTTTATTACTGCATTGTTAAAGAAATATCTAATAAGCAATTACTTGATATCTCTTTGTTTTTAAGAATCAAACTAATCTTCTCTTATTAGTGAGTGTTCCTGATTATTAATCATAGTTATTAAGTTATCAAATAAAAATAAACCAATTTTTCAATAAATGTATTTAATTATATAGATTAGACATTATAGAGTTTAATAGTAATATAATGAGGATGTAATATTTTTTGTACGATAAATGATTATTCTCTACAATTAGATTAATGTAAAAACTAAATTATAGGATGTAGTCTAGATCTTGATTTTTTTATTAATCAATTAAACAAATTTTTTTTCTTTATTAAATTAAATATTATAATTTATCACATCAGTTTTATCAAAAGAAGAAAAAAAAATCTAAATAATTTATTATTGACTTTTAGGGTGCACAAAAGTCTATACAAAAAGCTCTCATCTGAAAGCCCATCAGCGAATACACACAGGTGAGTATCTCTGTCAGATTTGTGTCAATGATCATTTATCAGAAACTATCGGAAATGTAGCGGAGATTTACAATGATGTATCGGAGTACATTCACATAATAGAGGAAATGAAAATAACAAAAAAAAATAGCTCGATAGTGCGTTGTGATGCGCTCATTGGGCGTGGTCGGACTGATGGATATTGAGTTGGTGTAAGAGTTCTAGTCTGTGAATATGCAAGAGTTAAACAGCAAGGTGTGCAACGATACGAGTTAGCGACCCACATCCAAGCGTGTTCACACACGCGAGAGCAATAACTACACGGTCGATTCGCTAGACTTGTCGATGATATTATAAGTAAAGTTTTCTGAATGCACACTACAGCAACGTTGATCCGTGTAGCTCACCTGGTGTCCTCATGAGGAATGCAAGAGGCGTCTTGAGTGCAACGTACTACTTTCAGAATATTTATTTCTTAGAATGTATTAAAATAAATTAGCAAAAAATACTAAATTAATCATCCTATCTTATTGAAGTAGCAGAAAAAGGGGATAATTAAATATGTTGTTATTTCGAGAATGTAATTAATAATTATTATAATGTACTTTATAAATGAGTGATATAGTCTATAAAAACACCCTAACATCTGCAGGACATAAATCTCATTACAATTTTAAATGCAAGTTTATGTTGACATTATACCGATTTATAATTTGTTTTGTTAGCTCTAAATTAATTATTTCTTCCTTAAAAAAATTATCAAATTTTAGAGAATTATTGAACAATAAATGTTCCAATTAGACATCTTGAAAATGATTTAAAATCCAATAGCTCCAATATTTTGATAATTATTACCAACTTCAACAAAAATGTTTATCAAGTTGACATGTCCTCTTTTCGACATTAATTTAAATTTAAATATATTCGAAAAAAAAGAAGAAGAATTGATGTTATTCTTCTGTAAATAAGAAATCCGTTACTTGAAAGTTGAAGTCGAAGAATTGTGACAAGTATAGAAGTAGAAGACGATAGTGAATAGATCGGTAGCTCGAAGTGACTTGGGAGAGTCTTTCAGGCACGTGGCTTCTCTTCTTGAATGGACTCACCATCTCGTAAGTCCTGAGAACGCATTCATGAGACGCCTCACCCGTTTTCATTCTTATTTCTTACACACTGATATATAAACACGCACACTTTTCACCTGAGAGTGGACACTATCTCGTTTAATGCGCGGGCGCGAGGCAAGCAGCATTCCTTTAACTGCATGTTATATGGTATCCCTTGCATCTTCTATATATATATCCAGATCAAACATTTTCCTATCTTTTTTGCTTTATACCGATAAAGAATTACATTTACATGGCCAAAATTATTCCAACAGCTTTCGATTCTGATAACAACTCTGCTAATCATTAAAGACATCTTCGTAAATATCTCTCCAGGAATATTTCAAGTATCTTCTCTTCACGAAATATATTGAGACCTTTCTTTCTTTATTTATGTATTAATTTAGATGATAATTATGCAAAAGTGATACTTGTAACACATATAAACAACCAAGTTGAAGAATAAAATGTTCATGTTGATGAGGGTTCATTAGTTGTAGAGTATAATAAGATACCTGAAAACATAAATGACTTGACATAATACCTGAATAATAAGAAATTATTTTGTATGTTTCAGGTGAAAAACCATATCAATGTCAGTGGCCAGAATGTGAGTGGAGATTTGCACGTAGTGACGAATTAACTCGTCATTATCGTAAACATACAGGTGCTAAGCCATTTAAATGTGCTGTGTGTGAAAGATCATTTGCAAGAAGTGATCATTTAGCTTTACACATGAAAAGGCATCTCCCTAAGCAACAAATTAAGTGACAGACTATGCAACAGGAGGAAAGATTTCATACACTAGACTGGTCGTCTATATCCAATGTCCATACAGACATGGAGCTTAAGAATCGTGAAAAAAGTGTTGTTGGGCAACATTTACAAGACTGGACATTTACAGCAGCTACTTCTTCTTCTTTTATAAGCACCAGCTTTTACTCTCATTCTTGCGCGTATTGAGTATTATAATAAGGAAAACAAAAGTACTTTTACAAAAATAAGATTAACTTCATCTTCTTTTTCAACTGAAAGTAAAATAATAATTATTAATTACTGTAAAGTTTTGTTGCTATGAAAAAAATTAAGTAGTTGCATATGTAAAAGCTTGCCCTGTACTTAATGTCTACGGTGGCTGGTCCACGATTATATGTAAAAGATTGATGTACTTACATATTACATACCGCGTGAAACTGGTAAATTAATTAGTGTTTAATTTGTAAAATAAAAACACTTGTCAACTTGATCAATTAATTACCTAAGCGTTTTAATCGTAGATTTATTAATTAAAACGCTCATTGCCATCCACCGCGACTGTAGATTTTAAGATGAATAATAAATATCCAAAGACTATGTTGCTGAATGTCCTGGGGACTCGTTATAGAACTCATTGACACATTGAAATAAATGAAGTTGAGTAGAAAATATTTTAAAATATGGATTTCCAAAATCCTAAAAATAATGATAATTCACAGGAAATGTTACAAACAGAATATTTGCACATAATATATCTTAAAAAATATTTGAGTTAAAAAATAAAAATTGTAATTATGTACTTCCTCTCTTCTATATAACTGTGGAGACTTTAATGAATTATGTACTATAGTGTGTGTTTAATTAATGAATTATATTTAGTAATTAATGAAGATGAGGAAGATGGATGATAGTAAAAAAAAAATATAAAGAAAGGATTAATTAACCCATAAGTGTAAATTTAAAAGTCCTAGTCGGAGCAGATGTACAAAGATGTACTTAAAGCTATACTAGATTTATTTTCAGTTGTTAATAAAACTACTGAGTTATGCAAAGAAATTGCAGTTATTAGACTGCATTGGATGTATTAATTAAAAAATTAATAATTAAAATTTGCACTAGTAACTAATCAAAGTGCATCTTTTCTGATGCTGTAGTATTAGTGAAATTGTGGTTTTACTTTTATTATTGTTTTATACACATGGATAAATTGAATTTGATTGTTAACAATGATATTATTTTGTGTTGAAGCGGTTAAAATAATTAAGTTGAGTATGAAAATTATAAAACTAAATTAATCATTAAATTTTTGGTATTAATGATGCAATTTGTAATTGATTTTTTGTTACTATAATTGTGATTTTAATAAAGTATTAGTAATATAGTAGAAATAGTAAGTTGTAAGTTATTTCTATTTTTTAATTGTTTTTGTAGTTATTTAATTTCTGAATTAATCAACGTCAATAACCATACCATTTGATTGTTTTAAAACAGTTAATTAATTATCTTGACTAATTGATATGCTTTTGAAATAATTAACTTAAGATTTTTCCACTTCAGCACAAAATAATAATTACTCTAATAGTGATCTTTGATTATTAAACAAACAAAAAAAAATATGGAAAAATGAATAAAGTATATTAAATAAGTATGCACTATTTGGCACGCAACAAATAGAAATCACTGAAAAATTTATTGTTAATGCAAGAGTAAAAATTTAATAAAATAAAATAACTTCAATGGATTGTTTTTCTTTTTTGATTTGTTTGATTTTTTTTTCAGTATATAATTTCGGGTCCCATTGAATAATACAATGAATTTCATTGATTATAAGTATAAAAGCATCACATTCATTTACTGTATAAACTTATTTAAGGTTGTTCGATCACGAAAAATAGTATAGTTCAGGGAAAACATATGTTAAAATTTAATTTAAAGATAAATGACAATATTTGATATTAAATCAAACTTAACAATTAGAACTGATTTATTACAAAATTATGAAACTTTTGACCGTTTTGTTTACGAGAAATTTATTGGTGCCATTGGGTTTAGTGTTTAACTGAACTTTATACATTTATTATTGCTAAACAAAACAGTGATATTTATTGATAAAGCGAACTTGAATTCTTTGAATTATTAGCTATCACTTTTGCAATTTTTATAGATTAATCTTTAAATTCGCTTAATGATCGAACAACTTTAAGTGTATGACACGAGAAAGAAATTCTTAAAAATATGTCATGACAATATCAAAGTTTTGATTATATATATGTTATTCAGTTGGAACCAATGCAACCGTTGTAAAGCCAACTTCATCAGGATCTCTTGCCATATATTGTCCACAAACTCGGGCTGCATTTTCCAATAACTTATCTTTAGTCGTTGGTCCATGATTTATTGGTAGTGATTTTTGTCCGTCTACATTATTATTTAATTAGATATTTTTTCAATATTTTTAACTATTTAAATGCTAAACTGACAAATGTTTTTAAAGCGCCGATATTTGATAATTATAGAAATAAATTAATTTTCAATTTTTCATCAGCTTAGAAAATAATGAAAATAAAACTTACCTAATTCGTATAAGAAACCATCTTTCTCAACAAAAGCTACAAAATGATGATAAACTGGTGCGTTTTTTGGAGGCACGGGAGTCTGTCCTTCTTGTGCTAATTGCTCATGAGTATCCATAATGTCACTAGCAGTATTGACTAATAACATACCTCTTTCCGTGAATGATAAATCTTTTGCTTTTTCAAGGAAATCTTTAAATAATCCATCTTGTAACTCAATCCTAATAGGAAAAATAATAAATAGATATTTATTTAATTAGAGTATATGATGATTTTCTTCGAATATATATCCATTATGATAGAATATTGTTTAGGGTACGTACTGATCTAAATTATTTAAAACAGCATGAATTAAAGCGACTGTGCCACACGCATTTGATACACACTGTTGCATATGGAAGACATTGGACGGTGGTTCTTTACCCTCTGCTTTGATTTTGGCCTCTAATTCAGCATTATATTCATGAACCTAAATAAATAATAAAATTAATAAAACTTTCAATTTTTTAATCATCCTTAATTTGTCAATATTGAGAAAATGATATACTTTTTAAATAAAAATATATATTATACAAATTAATTGATAATCAAAGCTATTTATATATGGAAGTTGATAGATAAGATATAAATATATTTTTTAATTATAGATATTAGAAAATAAAACAATACCTTTTCAGATTCTGGATAAAGTAAAATTAGAGCAAGTACCGGTTTTGGAACCATGGCTAGAACTTCTGGATCAAGACTATAAACATCTATAATAGACCATTTTAATGGTACTCCAAGTTGATGAATAAACTATAATGTAATAAGTACAATTAGGAACTTCTTTTAGTCGAAAGAATAATTGTAAATAATCTACACAGTTCAAAAGAAAATCTAAAAATGTTCACAATCGTAGAATTTTCAAGTAATTTTGACAATTTTTACCTTGGTCATCACCTAAAAGGTTAAGAAATTGATTAATTAAATGATTTGATTTATTATTTTTCTATCTATTGGACAATTTTATACTTACGTCTGGATTAGATTCAAGCGGTATAAGAGCCATTTTTTATTATTTAATTGTTTATATGTTTATAAATAAATGAGTATCAATTAAATCAAGATATAAACATGTATTTATATGTTGCTAATGCACGTGAGTTGTCTTAATTTTCTTATAAAATGGCTTGATGGTTAGCTTTTTTACTGTTAGCTATACTGTCATTTGCCACTCTTTTACGCCGAAAAAGACGATTGTTGAGCATGCGCGAAAATTTATTTTGTATCAGGATTTTTTATATCATTTTTGATCATCTAATTGTTAGTACGTTGAATGTCCAACTGATGGCTGAAGGTGTTATTTTGGAAGCATGAGGGAATTTTTGAATTACAATCAAATCATATTGTTTTTTTCAATAATTTTTCCTCTTTTTCGTTTGATATATTTCAATAAATATTTTATTTTCAAGTATTTATTGAAAATTATTGTAATAATTTATGATCGCAACTATTATAAATCATCTTTCTCAAGGTCGAAATAAATATTTCATATAAGCGAATGTTTTATATAAAGCTATTGTAACAACTGTTAATATAATGTTGAAATTTCAATTTATTGACGATAATAATTATGTAATTAAAATAATTCTTAATAATATTATAAAGTGTTTTTAATAAAAATAATTTATATTAAATATTTTTTTTAAATTACTAACGATACAAAACTTAAAAATCAAAAAATTGTAAAAAATTATCATCACCGCATGATTATCATTATGGTTTCAATTCTCATTTATTATTTTAAAATTTATTCTACTTCTTAATGCTATGTTATGCTCATTATTTATCAACAAAAAAATTATAATAATAATGAACCATAGCTGTTTAAATTATAATTTGAAACTATGAATAGATGAACTAATCTTAATGTGTGTTAAATTTATTATTTAAATTATGTGATTCATAAATGATTGAAGATTAAAAAAAAAACCGATATGGAACTGTTATAATTTTTTGAGTATTTAATCAATTAATTACTTATAAATACTATTATAGTATTTGATTCTAATATCAATCATTCGTTCAAATAGTTACTAATTTTTTATGTTACAATTATATTTTTTTAAAAAAAATGTAAAAAATTAATTAAAGTTTTACGAGATTTTTTCTTATTTTAAAATATATTGCCACATGTTACAATTCAGTTTCATAATAAAAAATTATAATTAATTGTCATGCCAAGTGATAAGCGAATGATTGAGATAATAATTGAACATAATTATAATTATGAAAATTATAAGACTGGCAAATATGTCCTTAAATTTGTTACATCATGTGCTATTGACATTTACATTGTCAAAGCTATTGCTAAGTTTCAATCTTTTTTTTTTCTTATTCAAATACTGTCATAAACTTCTATACACACACTAAGAAGAAATATTATTATTTAAAGAACTATTCCTTTTTTTTCGTATCTAGATCGAACTATTTTTACATATTGAACAATTACCATAGGCGTTCAGTTTTCATTCTTATTTTACACAGTATTATATTTATATATAATTAATCTCCAAACTCTATTTACTAATATTAAAAAAAAATAAAACTTATCATAAGAATACTTGAGGAATAAAGAAATATTTTTTATTCCATTAGTAGTAACATATAGAGTATTTTAGATTTTTTTAATAATCAAACTTACTCGAGAATTTATTTCAAATCTAGTTCAACTTCAGGACTCTCGAGAGTAAAAGGTTTGAGATTCTCAACTATTGGTGTTTCGTCGGGATCAATTTTTATGCGTATTTTATTAGCCTCGAGTGCACGAGGAAGAGAACGTTGGAGATCTTCTTCATAAGAGGACGGGGAAAGTGGTGAATAAGGTACATAAATCCTTACGATGTCTGGACTGGGATGATGAGGTGTTGCTCGAGGAGTAGGAAGTCCTCCACTGCCGGAACTACCCACGGAAATGTTGCTTTGAGTATCAAGACTATTATCCAAAGCTTGAGATCGTGTTGCTGAACTAAAGACTGATAGATCAGCTGTTGATGTAACCGACGTATCAGCTAGAGAGCGTCGGGAACCATTTGGAGATCCACCATCATCAAGGCTCGGATCGAATGAGAATTTACTTCCTGCAAGTACATCGGCTTCATTGGCACGGAGAAAAAATAATTTAGACATCAAAGACGAGTCGAGAGATTTTCCATTATACCCCCAAGATCGCTGCCACTCGGAGGATCTCCAGGGATTGGACTATTCCGGTTATCCTCTAGAACTGCCAGATCTCTGCGTTGCGCTACTGACTCCCTCAAGACTATTTGAGCTTCAGAAAATTCTTCTGCACGTCTCCCGACCTATCAAAAAATTTTATTATTAATAATCATCATAAATAATAGTCTTTTTACTTTAGTCAATTTCATGGTTAATATATCATTCAAGTTTAGTATTTCACAAAATAAATATTCTAGTTCCCAATCATTAATTTCTTGTTAGCATAATGTTATACAGATTCATAATAAGTAAATTAATTATATTTTTTAATTTTTCTGTTTTTAAATTTTTATTATAAAAATCATGTTGCGTAAAATTGTTTTTCACCCATTTATTCAATTAAATATATCAGATTTCTTTTACCTGTGCTTTAGAAAAAACAGTGTTTTTAAAAAGATTCACATTCATTAATTTCTTTATATTTATCTTTAAATATTTTAAAAATAATAATAACAATACCTCGGATGTTATCAAAATGTGTCCCAGGAAGAAAGTTGAATGTATTTATTAAGTACATTAACTATAACTACTTAAAAATAAATTCAATAAGTGTAAAGTTGGAACAATCTTTGTTTCACTTAGCAGAATGAATAGATAAAATATTTATTACTTAAAAGATTAATAGTGATCAATAAGACAATTGATTTTGACTTACCTTACTAGTGAATGAAGGCTCTTTAAATGTTCCAAATGGATATTGTGGCAATTCATGAGGCAAAGGTGCACCTGGATAGTCCAGTCTGGCACGTTTCAATTCTTCTATATTTCTTTCAACCGCATTTATCACTGTATCATCATCAAAGCGAAAGTCTTTTTCAAGTTTCGCTTGTAAGTAATTGCAGAATTCATCAAGACTATCTAACGGCATTAAGTACCGTTTATGTAGTTTCATTACAGTATATGCTATGGCAGGTAATACTCGATCTCCATCCAAAAGGAAGATATCCCAAATACGAAGACCAAGACTAACGGGCGTCTATTATTGTCAACAAAAAATATACAATACATTTAACTGTTAGATCCTTAATTATGTATCATATAAATAAATAAATTGTTTATATATTGGAATTTTTAAATTAATTAAAAAGAATATTCAACTTACTCTTTCCTGAAACACAACAAAAAACCATTTTAATGCATAAAGCATTGAATCACAACCGCATTTGTCTAGTTTACGTTTTAGCTTTGGAAGGAATTTATTCATTATTTTATCATGATGTTCAATAAATCGATTGAGTTTGGGAAAACCATCAATGTAGAAACCTGAAACATTAAATAATTAGCTATAATAAATTCATTTAGATCGACAACTTAAATTATTTCTCTATCACTAAGTTCAAACTTATTGAAGCAATTATTCCAAATTTCAAACTGACCATTTAATCGAAATGATCGATTGATAGATTATTTTAGATAGTTTAAATTTATAGAAGCTCTTTTACAGATTAGGATTAATTTTATTCATTCATTTCAAACTTTAAGGTTAAATTATTAAGATAGAAAAGTAAATAAAAATTTTCAAACCATGCATGCTGTACTTCTTATCTGCCAGTAGAACAGACAGGCCCCAAAAAGCATCTTCTTCATTCATATATAATAATAATAATCCTGCTAAAACTGACATTCCTTGACAATATCCTACTTCCATATTATACATGCTATATGCCGCCAGTACATAGAACATGGATCTCTGCTTGATACTATATCTTTCTCTGCAATTAATTATTATCATAAATTTATCTTACCAAACTGCAAGAATAATATTCATCAATGTTTACAAAAAAAAAAAAAAACAAATAAAATTACCTATAATCTATATGATCTCTATATTGTCTAGCAACATCTGCATCAATTTGTCTGATCTCTGTTGACCATTGCCTAGCAAGTTGAAGCATTTCTTCGTATTTTCCGGCTTTTTCCTGTTTTAAAGCCTCTATTCCAAGTAATAAGGCCCATACTCGTCCCCTGAATCTATCAGGTATACCTTTATATACTCTTCTTCTTAATTTTTCTTTGGTAGCTGAGCTCTCCCAATGACTCGTCATTTTTTCCCATTTCTTCACTCTTTCCATTTCAATTTGATGCATTTTAATTTCATTCGTCTCCAGTTTGCGTGGTAATCGTTTATCACTGTAACAAGATGCCAAGGATTGAATTATACTATCCATGGAAAAAATCATCAGGTTTCTCGGAAACCATAGATATACATATTCGAAAAGATTACTAACTCTATTCTTAACAAACTATCTCTTAAAAATACCTGAAAAAGGTACTTATTAATTAGCTATAGATTTTCGATAGATATGTATCATGTTACTTTCTAACTCTAAAGTGTTTCTTTAAATATTTTCGAAAACATAACACAGACTAATAAATAAAAATAGAATCATTTGTAGATGTTATTCTCTAAAGAATCTGATAATATGAATTACAACAATTTACTTGAAAATTAAGAAAATAATTGACATAATAATTTTTATTGTTTATAAAAAAATTTTAATTAAGAATATAATTTGCCATTTTGTTTGTAAAAGTCAACTACACCAAACGATTAAAATAAATAAATATATGAAGAGAAAATATTCATAGCAGGAAATAACATTACAATATGATTTTTTATTTGCGGTGAAAAATAATCTCTGATATTTAAATAATTTTAGATATTTAATAAATGTTGCAGAAGCAACCCTTAATAATTGGGAATAATATTTATACTTACTGGATAAATCCATATCTGTCTGTTGTATGGTACACTTCATATCCTGGATCTTCCCACGAGTCGATCTGAGCACCATTCTCTCTACCACGATCGTAACAACTGAATATTCTGTCCCGCTCAGCAGCGGATCGTTTCAATAACTCTTCCTCATTCATTCCACAAGAATATTCAACGGTATGTCCTTAAGCATACCGATAAATTTTTTTATTAAATAATTCCTTTTTTATTTGGTAACCTTTTACACAAATTTTATTGTCTGAAATACCTGTATTTTATAAATTAGGAAAAATAAATAAAAAATAATAATTAACATTTACATTTTTTTTCTGATTACTCCAAAAGGTTATATTAATATTATTAGCACAAAATGCTTGCGAAATACTTTAATTTAATGACTGACTTATGTTACTGACATTCTTAAGAGGTTATGGAACTGTGCGTGTATTGATATAGTAATATTTTTACAGTTCTCAACACTTAAAAAACGATATATTTATCACCATAACTGTCTTTAAACTTCACATTATCTAAACTGATCTAAACAACTTGCTGAAGTCTACTGGAGACGAGTCCTGCCAACAAAATTGTTTCTACTTTTACGAGATAGACTTTTTTCCTTGGAAAATACTTTTATGAAGAGAATAAAGAGGTTAGCGTCACTCTATATCGAGTCTGAGGGATCACCAGTTGATAATTTACCACTAAGAGAACTGAAAGGGTTCTACTTTTTAATTATACAAGTCCATACAGCAGAGAATAAAAATGTAACACACATTTTTATTCTTTGCCGTATTGTGAATCTATATCTTGATTGTATGATCTTTTTCTCATTTACATTAAAGTATATTAAAATAATAAATAAAGTCTAAACGACATAATGGATCAACAACAATTACCATATGGTGCACAGCCCAATATTCAGGCAAATCCTTATCAATCTCAACAAAATCCTCTATTTAATATTGTTGTGAGTATTAATTTTTAGACTCCAATTTATCAATTATCAGCAATACATAAATTCGACATATTTAAAATTTTGCATAATATTGTTTAAGATTCAATTATACATGAATTTTATTTTCAATACAGTTGACACCTGAAGAAATAAAAATATTAAATGAATGCCGATCAAATGCAATATATCACAGAGGTCTTCCTATGGGGGCAGCGATGGCAGGTGGATGTTATTATATGATGAATAAAGGAATAGTTAAAAGAAATATGTGGGGAATGGCACTTAGTGGAATTGCTGGGTTTTTTATTGGAACAATGTCTTACAGAGGAATATGTATGGAGAAGTTACTGTCACTTCCTAACAGTACATTAAAAGATAGAATTTTAGCTGCTCAAGGAATGCAACCACGAGTCAGGTAATGATGATACTATCATTTATAACAATTTATAATACAAATATAATTTTACGTTTCAGAGTTGATGTTAATACTGGTGAAAATTTCTTTGATTCTATCTTGCCTTCATCTGATACTCCACAAGGTTCATCATTTGACGTGGAACCTTATCAATCGAATCAATTAGATTCTTATGATTTCCGTCCTGTTGACGCAGGTAGGGATTTTTTGCATTAAAGAAGTTATTCATACTCCATTTAATTATACATTTTTTTTACTTATCAAAATATTTTAATTTATTTCTAGAAACTGCATATGCTGTAAATCCTCCATTGCAACCAGCCCAACGAGAAACTTATACGACTTATGATGAATTACGTCGTCGCAATCGTGATGATTATTATAGAGGCAATAGGTAAAATTTAATTATGGTCTACTATTCAATGTATTAAAATTTACGAATCATACATAATGTAATTCAATTTTGGTTCCTTATTTAGTATACAATCAGGACCGAGAGGTCCAGCTCCTCCACCTTCATCTTCGTTGTATTCACCTCCATCACCGAGCAATGCTCCATCACCGTACAATGCTCCACTCCAACAAGGCCCTCCACAATCAGCATCATCATATGGAGCAACTGGTTTCTATAGTGATAGACCACCAGAGTATGCTAGCATTGCGGACAGAACGTTTGAACAACGACAACGTGATGATCAACGACAACGTGATGAACAACGATGGTAAATGTTTTGAAAGGTAGTACTTGGTTGAAAAAATTGGTACTTTATATGTAAATGTATATTATAACAAATTACTGTGACATGCTTTTGTATTGTTATATTAAATATTATACCTACGTAAAATATTGAAATTCATCTCAATTATTAAACAAACAATTAAATTTAGCACCATAAATGAGGTATTATAAGATAAATGATAAATATTTGATCGTTAAGTTTTGAAAAGATAAGTGGTAATTAAGAGAAAAAAAACAATAGTTTATCAAATTAATATATTAACCGTTTTATCGGTCAGTTTAATGATTATTTAATAATTTACTCAATAGGAAAAATTATTTAAGAGCATATAAATTCAATAGAATATTAATTTTCACTATAAATGAGCAATAAACACTATTCTTTCTTTCATTCTTACTTTTTTACATAAATTTTTTCAACGAATCATTTCTCTTCACATTATACATAATTTTTTTAATATATATTTTTATTTTTTCATACTTACGATTAATTGTTATCATTATGATTATAATTATTATCAATAATTCGAAAGTAATTTTAATATCTGATCCACAACTCCAGATAATAAAGAGGCGTTATCTCCTTTGCCTTCAATTGTAAGGGTAGGAGAATTATTACTTGATTTCTGTAAAATAATAATAATTGTTTTAATTTTTTTTTTTCATAGAATGTAAAAAATAAATTACTTCGTTCAACTTACTTTTTTAACTAAAAGGCACACATGATGACCTTTTAGTGATTGACCATAGAGAGACGCAGCATCATCAACATGTTCAACAAGAGTAAAATTACATTGTTGACAGATTATTTTTAATATTCGATTAAAATCTTCATTGATTTCAATCTTATTTTTAACTTTATGTATTAATTGATCACTGTTTAATAACTCAGCAAGAATATCACCATGCGTGAGGCTTCCCACCAAAAAATCGCAATAAGATAATGGCAAGGTAAAATCCAATTTCTCGTGAACTGTTCCGATAGGATTTTCTACCATATAGGAAAGAGAACCACGAAGTTTTTGGGCAAATGTATCATCTGATACCAATATTGGTAAATGAACTTTCGTCGTAGCTTGTGGATTTAATTGGACTTTCAATTTTATACCAAATTCTTCTCCAAAATTTCTTATTAATTTCAATGCTGAAGCATCTGACACATCAAGATCTAATTCTTTTATAAGTTTTTCACTAATGTTAGTCAATGTGATTGCCACAATTATTTTTCCTACATCATGAGGTGACTGTTTTAATTCATACATCATTTTTATTTTATCATTCTTAGCTAATTCTTCACATTTTTGTGGAGGTTCGTGATTAATACACGTCTCATTTTCATCACAATTGCTTGTAAGTCCGGGTAATATTTCTTTGGAAGGAGTAGAAATCCCTGCAGTCTCTTCATAACCTGATGATTTATCATGTTTTTTACCCTCTGAATATTTTTTCTTCCGTCTTCTTGAACCATCTTCACTTTCTTTCTTTTTTTTAGACTTTACCCTTTTTGAATGTGATTTTTTCTCATCTTCATGTCGCTGAATATTGTCATTACTTGAATTCTCTTTATCATTAATCATATCATTTCCCAACCATAAATCTATATTATTTTGATTTTCATTTTGACTACTTGATTTTTCATGCTTGCTCTTTTTCTTTGTCTTCTTGAAACTTTTCTCTTTCTTACTCTTTTCTCGAGACATAGTGTTATCTGATTTGTTGGTATTTTCTGATATTCTGTGCTCTAAAACTGGTAATCGTTCATCTTCTCTGAGTGGAATATCTAAATCAATATTCAATGCTCGATGTGGATCATTAATATCAGTTAAATTAGTATCTTCATTGTCACTAAGTTCAGCACCAGGTGGTAATTCACCGATTCCAGTATTTATATAATGTGTTGGATATCTTTCTTCATCTTGACCTTCATCAGAACTTGAATGATCTTTATTTTTTCTCGATTTCTTTTTTTTCTTCTCATTTTTTCTTCTTTTTTGTTTTTGATCCATACTGAAGTCTAGTAACTTTGAATTGGTATATGAATTAATTTTTAATGAAACTGGCAAATCAAGTTCAGCAATAGGAATGTGATCGAAATCATCAGTTTTGTTATTAATGCTAGAATTATGATAAGAATTAATACTTCTTGGACTGGAAGTTTTTAAATAATGTGGATTATTTTCTTGTTCTATTTTTCGGGCTTCTCTTCGCCTTTGAAGCTCTTCAACTGTTGGTTCAATTGATACTTTCTTTTCTCCATATTCAACTGACTTGTCAGACTTTATAAAAATATCATTCATATCCAAATCTTCTTCATCCGAAGTTTCAGATGGTGGATCATTAATCCAAGAATCAAGATCTAAACCTTCAGGTATTGGTACTTTCTTTTGAGCTTTCGGAGCAACAGGATTTAATTCTCCTTCAAAAGTTTCGGCAAGTTCACTAATAAGTGAAGGATTCTGTTGAAGGTAATCAAATAAAACTAATACAGCACTTGATCGTTCTTGAACTTCTAAATCTCCCGAGCAGACGAATTCTGCCATTTTATCTTTTAAACTGAAAATCTGATCAATTGTTTCTTGATCTTCGTCTTTTTGAGCCTTATTTAACGTTATTGTTGCTAATTTTAAAATATTATGGACATAAACTGCTTGAATATGACCTGGAAGGCTTGATGCTTGAGATTTTAACATAGATTTTAATGTGGCTATTGGATCATCAAGTTCATGACAGAATTCTCCACAAATCCAAGCTGCTGCATATAAAACTTCGCACATTGTAGCTCTTGGTTGACCAGTAAGAAGATGAGCATTTTCCAATAATAAGGCACATTGTTGCACTGCGCACTTTCGAATTGCCTGAACACGGATAGCTACATCTAAAAGTTGTGTAGCTACCAATTGACCATGTTTAGTACCCTCCATTTTCGTGAGATCCACCAAAACCGAAATATACCATTCAAAGTAAGTAATAAATTGATAATTATTTTGAGAACAAATTTGAATTATTTTTGACAATAATTCATCTCTATATGTTGTTCCCTCAGCTTTGTCCATGTGAATCATTAACTTTCGAACGATTTCCATTAAATTCTTTTTGGAAACCATACCATAAAGCAAATCCAAAGCACGCAATCGAATACTCTCATCTTTATCATCAAGACATTGCATTATCAAATCTTTATGTGCTTGTACACTTTTTGGATGAGTTTTTAGAATTTTTGACATTGCTAGAAGACCCAAATATTTAAGATTTTGGTCTGAATCTTCAATGAGTATTCTTAATTTTTGAACGCACAGTTGAATTGAATCTGAATGGTTTGGCATTCCAGATGATATTGAAATAAGGACGGCTATCACAGTATTTATACATTCATAAAGTAGAGACATTGCCGAAGTGCTATAAATCAATTTTTTAAATATTAATATGCTATTTTTAGTTGAAGCTGATGATAAAAAAATTATTTTTAGCTTAAGCACGAATGATAAGCTGTAGCATACATGTATTACAATTACCTGTGTATTAAATTGGTCAATGGTTCTATAAGTTTCTTTCCAAGCCTAGGTTCTAAAGGTGTCAAGGCGCCAAACTGTAAATTGATTTAAAATTTTGAGGACTACGAATTATTTCTATAAGGCGACTAAGATAAAATAAATGAGCTGATTATTGACCTAATTTCAACGAGTCTACAATCTTGTGGATTATTAAAGCAATACGTAGCTTTTTAAAATTTAATTTATCATCGATCATTATTAGTCAAAATGACAATTATTCTCTTGACTTATGTTCAGAGTATTTGTTATATTCGTGAAATAAACAGAAATGCTTTTATATATGATAAAAAAAAATTCTTCATCTAAATATTTTCAATTTAGAGTAAAATATCTGCTAAAAATATATTCAATTAATCAGTACATTTAACAATTTAAATAATTTGTGAACAAATTTTTATGTATGATAAATGTTTTTATAAATTTGCATCTATTTTTAGAGAGGATAATATGAAATAAAAAATAACTCGAATGGTTGGATTCAAAATTCTTTGCGAGACCAGCTTAAATGACTCACAGATAATAATAAAAAAAAATGTAAATACCTATACTACTACCTATTTTAATGTTAATACTTTCTACTGACGATGAGATTTTGATTAAATCTATTTTTAAATTTAGCTTTTACTTTGACAATAAATAATTGAATGCAAGTAAATTACACAACAATCATTTCAACACCAATTAAAGCAAAAATTATACATTTTACAGAATGTAAACTAATGACATAATCCAATTAAAAAATCAACCTTGATATCAGATCTATGAGCGGTTGGGTCAACTGCCGGCCTAATTTTGGCTCAATCAGCGTTATCGTTGAGAACTGAATGAAGAAACAATAGGAAATGATCGACGGAAGTTTAATAAAATATTGATTTTTTAACAAATTTTTAGTCACATATTCTAAACCACAGAAAACTTTTGAATGAATTTTGTGCTAAATATTTATGAGTAATTGATGAAAATAAATTAACGAAACTCACCAGTTTGATGATTTTTATAAGCATCCAATTGTTTGTAGAAGTAGTCATTAGTTTGAAAAATATGGGAGCTAAGCTCAAATAATTTTTTGGGTTCTTTCTTGCTAATTCACATACAACATTAACTGCTGCTGACTGAACTCCACTATCAGGATCTTCAAGTTTTTCTTTAAGTCTTGGAAAAGCTGGACGTAAAGCCTCCGGGAAGCGCAAAAATACTTTATACATCATAAGAACAGCTTTTTTTCGTAAATAAGGTTTTGTGCTTGTTAATAAAGTCATTATATCATTTACTAAGTCTCTTGCTAGGTCTGGACTTATAAAACAGGAGAGTCCACTTAATGCTAAACCAGCATCATATTGACTTTGACTATTTAAATCTTTGCGAATCATATTGGTGGTTAGCATCAATAACTGCAAATAATTGTAAGTTCAAATATTAGAAAATATGCTTTTTTAAGGTGAAATAGTATGAAGAAGTTTTAAGATCCAGTAGAATTCCACATTGCATGCTATTATATATTATTTGATTTAAAAAACCGTTCGATAAATTATTATGTATTTATGTCTACCTCAGTATCTTGATGAAAGCTTTGACTAGCAGCCAAATACCCAATGCGTTTGTAAGTAAATTTTCCAGATGACATTACTTCAATAATATTAAAACCAGCCCAGCTGATATCATATCCTAGCATTTGGAGCTAAAAATTTAAAAAATTTAGTATAACTATTTGACAACAAACAAAATAAAAATATGCACGAATACTTACGTATGTAAGTTTGGCCACTGCATTTGCTTTCACAGCTACATTGTCTTGTCTTAATTCTTGTTTAATTTCTTCTATACATTGGGTGATATATTTAGCCTGGAAAAAATACATTTTGATAAAAAAAAACATTAAATTAAATATAATACAAGTACAAATGATAGGTTATGAGTAATGGATAGATTTTAATTAAATGAATGTATATATTACCTCATTATTTTTATTGTTTCTAATCCCACGAACTAAATCAGTAAGATTTTTATCGAACATTCGTTCAAAGTTTCCCTTTACTTTGCGTAGAGCCATGATTTCTCTCGTAATCACACTTGAAGTTTGATAGAACTGTGGCAGATTCGCCACTTTAAAGGCCTCTTTATGCAGTTGCTGAGCTTTTTACCCTACATTCTTTTACAGTTCAATAAATTTAATGAAATTTATCAAATTAACATGATCACGAGGGTACAATAATTGTATTTATACATTGGAGTATTTAATAAGAAAGCGATGAACTTTTTACCTGCGATACGTCTGCTCTCGTTGCTAGTTGCCTCCCATTCTACGTATGTGGTTCATCCAAGTAACCAACTTTTCACTAATCCAGCTGTTAAAATTTTTTAAATAGCAGATGAGTTATCTGAATTTTATTATTTAGTTGAGAACCAAAATAATAACCGGTTTGTTGTAAAAGTATATTTGAGATAAGTTGATAATTTGTCTCTTTTTGTCACTTCTGCCATAATTCAATGGAGAAATGCTCAAAATCTTTTGACACGTCTTCAAGATTTTCTGGATTTTTCATGTTGGTAACAATTGACACAATTTGTAAATGTAAGGTTATGTGAGGTTAAGCGTGGGAGGTGCTCCAATCCTCTGACAGTTGACAGCTGATTATTTTACAATAGTTACAAGTATTTTGATTAAGGTAATCTATTTAGATATATGATATATTGGAAAGTAAATAACAGGTATTTTGGAAATGTTTGAAATTTAAAATAAAGAAGTAATGGTGTTGATAAATATTATTTATTGCTGAAAGTATGAATAATTAGTTTAAAATATTTCTCTGTTTTTTGATTATTTCTAATGAAGATAATTCTTAAAACAATTAATTTTATTTAACATTTGTGTACTATTTACAATTAATAAAATGGTTTCAGTTTTCAACCGAATCTGTTAAATTTTTAAACACAATTTTAATTAAATCATGGAGACTCGTGAAGAAGACGATCTTGATGAACTTCAATCAACAAATTACACGTTCCCCGAAAGTGTTCAAAGTGTTATAGAACAGGTTTTCAAAAATTATATGTAAAAACATATTCCTTTTATGCTGAATATAAGTATATAAAAATATTCGTTTCAGGTTTTGCCAAGTAATGATCCGTTAGATCAACCAAACTTCAATGTCGTTGATTACATCAACACTTTATTTCCAACAGAGCAATCACTATCAAATATTGATGATGTTGTGAATGAAATGGAATTCAAAATTTGTTCAATAGATAAAGAAATTCGTTCTGTTGTTCGAGGACAAACAAATGTTGGACAGGATGGTAGAGCTGCTCTTGATGAGGCTCAAAAGGTTATAAAACAATTATTTATTCATATAAAAGACATAAAAAGTAAAGCAGAACAATCTGAAGAAACTGTTAAAGAAATTACTCGTGACATTAAACAATTAGACTCTGCTAAGAGAAATCTTACAGCTTCTATAACAGCATTAAATAAGCTATATGTTCTCGTTAGTGAAGTGGATAGCCTAAGAACGTTAATACAATCAAAGCAGTATGGAGAGATTGTGTTAAAACTTCAAGTTATCATGGAAGTTATGCAGTTTTTTAGCAATTACATGGATATACCTCAGATTAAGCAGCTATCTGACGAAGTTCGTCAAATGGAGATTCAATTAGCTCAACAAATTACTGCTGATTTCAAAGAGGCATTTTCTGGGCAAAATCCTAAACATTTTACACAATTAACTGAAGGTTGTTTAGTTTTATCGGTATTAGATCCTAAAGTGAAACGTGATCTTCTAACTTGGTTCGTCAACATTCAACTTCAAGAGTATGCTCACTTATTTGATGAAAATCAAGATATTGCTTGGTTAGATAAAATTGATAAACGTTATACCTGGATTAAAAAACACTTAATGGACTTTGAACAAAAATTTGGTCCAATTTTTCCAATAGACTGGGATGTTTCTGAAAGAATAGCGGTTCAATTTTGTCATGTTACCCGAGAAGATTTAGCCAAACTGATGCAAAAAAGAAGAGTTGAAATTGATGTTAAACTTCTTCTTTACGCGATTCAAAGAACTACTGGATTTGAAAATTTATTAGCTAAAAGATTTACTGGAATTACTCTAGAAGGTTCAAAATCACATCAATTAGCGAAAAATACTTCGGTTCATTCACTTACTGTTGAAGAAGAATCTACGAATCCATTTGAAGAAGGGAATAATGAAAAAGTCGAACATGAAAAGCCAACTTCTTCGCTATTTGCTAATTTAATTGGCAGGTGTTTTGAACCTTATTTAAATATTTACATTGAAAGTTTAGATCGTAATCTCTCCGAATTAATGGACAAGTTTATATCTGATTGCAAAACACAGCCACCTGGTTCTAAAGACTTTGACGGAGTTGAAGGACCCAGTAGTGTTTTATCTTCTTGTGCTGATCTTTTTGTATTTTACAAAAAGTGTATGATTCAATGTACACAATTAAGTACTGGAACAATCATGCTTAATTTAGCTGAAACTTTTCAAAAATATCTTCGTGAATATGCTCTCAAACTTTTACAAAATAATTTACCGAAAATGGGAGGAAGCGTGAGTTTAGGAACTAGTATGAGTAACATAACACGAGACTTTCGTGATCTTTCTACTGCTGGATTGATTCAAAACTTTCAGAGCTTCTTGAAAGAAGGAGAAAATACAAGATTTAATAAAGAGGAGCAATCGAGAATTTGTTGTATTCTAACTACTGCAGAATATTGTTTAGAAACAACTCAACAACTTGAAGAGAAGCTAAAAGAAAAAACAGATAAAATTTATGCTGAAAAAATTAATCTCTCTCAAGAACAAGATCTTTTTCATAATGTTATTTCTAATTGTATTCAGTTATTAGTTCAAGATCTTGAAGCTGCTTGTGATCCTGCATTGACTGCCATGATAAAAGTTCAATGGGGAGCCATAGAAAGTGTTGGAGATCAAAGTACTTATATAAGCACAATAATTTCACATTTAAGGCAAACTATTCCGACTATTCGTGATCGATTATCATCTTGTAGAAAATATTTTACTCAATTATGTGTTAAATTTGTTAGTTCATTTATACCTAAGCTTGTTCAACAGCTATATAAATGTAAACCATTAAGTGCAGTTGGTGCAGAACAACTTTTACTTGATGTTCATATGCTTAAGACTGCTCTACTTGATTTACCTTCTACTGGTTACCAAATTACTCGTAAAGCTCCTGCTACATATACAAAAGTTGTTGTTAAAGGGATGGCAAAAGCAGAAATGATTTTAAAAATTGTGATGTCAACCACTGAATGTCCTAAGACATTTGCAGATCAATGTAAAAGATTATTGCCAGATCTTCAAATGCCAGAATTTCAGAAAATTTTAGATATGAAAGGTTTAAGAAAACAAGAACAACAACAACTCATTGAACAATTTAAAGCAAGTTTAGGTTCTGATGTTACAGTTGACAATCAGAATATCTCGAGAGAAAGTTCTGAACATGAAGCAGGTAAAATAAAAAGATTAGAGAAGTTAATAAAAAAAAGAATGTAAATGAATTTATATGAAACAATCATGACAAATAAAATATTAAATGATTTAATTAATAAATATTAATTTGAATTTTTAATCTTTTGCTTCATTTTTCCGTTTTTATTGATTGCATTTTCGAATATACAAACCATTATTTTAAAGGTTTAACCTTGCTTTTGGGCAAGTTCTTTAGCTTTAGCTTTTTCAAGCTTAGCAATACGAGCAGCAGATTTGCTACCGAGAAGTCCACCACCCCAGTGACGTCTGATTTCATCGTAACGGTCATTAAAGTTCGTTTTAATAGCTTCAACTACCTTGCCGAAATTGGCTCTATCAGCAGAGTCAACCTAAAATACAGAAAATTGATCACATGTTAGAACATTTTAAATATTAGTTTCATCTTATGTTCATTTTATTTTTAATTCAGATGGAAAAATTTGTATATATCACATTCACTCATTGGATTGGCTCATGAATCATCATAAAAAAATTTTATTTATTTATTAATGATAAATTAGATATTAGAATTAAAAAAAAAAAAAATACCTGTGTTAGAGCGACAGCTGTGCATGTTTTGCGTCGAACAAGACGTCCCAATCGTGCTTTACCTTTTACAATACAGTAAGGTACTCCCATTTTACGACAAAGAGCCGGAAGGAAAAGAACAATCTACAAAATAATTGAATATTATACTATTACTATTTTCAATTAGTGGAGAAAAGATAATTATTAAAATATTATCAATTTATTACTACTCAGATATTATTTTTCATCCTCTGAATAAAAAGTTTTTGTCAACTTTTTGATCTCAGGTGAAGAAATTCTAGCATCATTGCAAAGTTACTTGTTCTTTGATTTAAAATGTAATGATTATATTAGATAAATAAGATATTGAATTACCTCAATTGGATCGACATCATGAGCAATGACGACTAACTGAGCTTTCTTTTGTTCAACTAAAGTAGTCACAGTATTGCTTCCACTTTTCAGAACATTTGGCCTTTTTGTTGGAGTATCTTCTTTTTTAGCCACTTTTTCTTCAGCTCTAGCCTTTAGTCTCTTCTTTTTAGCTTCAGCAGATTCAGGCCTATATTTTTCCAAAATTTTGAATAGTTGTGTGGCTATAAAAATGGTAATAGATCATATGAATATAGATAAATGAGTAGATTTAAAATGAAAAAGAGTGTGAAATACTAACCTGTCTGTTTGTCAAGTGTTTGGGTGAATTGATTAATTGGTGGTGGGACTTTCAATCGTTTGTAAAGGACAGCTCTTTGACGTTGAATACGAATGTATTTTGGCCATCTTACGAATCTGCTAAGGTCTCGAGCTGGCTGAATGTCTTGACCAATACCAAAATTACGGGTACGTTTTTCAAATAAAGGATTAGTTACCTTTTTAGGTTCGACTTTTTTTACTGCTAAGGGAGCAGCAGCTACCTTTTTTCCAACCTTCTTCTTGGGCTGAAATGCACATAAAATGATTAAAACTCTGGCTTATCAAACACATGTTTCATTCTACAACATAACAAATATTCACACGTATAACCTGTCATAATTCACTATGTAACAGTTATTTGAAATATAATTAGATTTATATAAATATTTATTTTATCATTTGCAGTAGTTTATTTACCTTCTTTTGTACCATGTTTTTTAATTAGTAATCACCCGATTACTAAACAATTTATGGAATAATGAAGTAAAAACTTCTTGATACAAAACGCCAAGTATGGCGGCTAATCTCAAAAAGAAGGAATGAATCGGAAGTGGAATGCTCCATTGGTTTCATTCCGTTCCTCTACAAAAAAAATTTGAAAAACATTTTTTTTTCCTGAGCATGATCTAATTGACATTGTATTGTAATTAAAAAAAAATTTTCTTCGTAACAAAAGATTTATTAATGAGCATTTTTTTAAAGAAAAAGCGTTATTTAATTTGATAAATATCAGCTCTTCAAGTTTTTAACGCTAATCGATAAAGTAGTTTCAAAAATGTCGATAATGTAGGATTTACATTAGCGGTCTTGGTTGGAAAATAAGAGATCCGTCTTTTTCCCGCGTTTTTGGCGTCTTTTGTCGTTGTTCGACTGTGCGCATGCTCATTAAAATGCGACGCAAAAAGCGATCAGAAGCTAAAGCACCAAAATTATTTGCTTTTCGGCAAAAGTTTCTAATAAATCTCTCCACTAATATTTATATTTATGATAAATAAATTACATGACAAATTTTACTTCGGAAAATATAATAATTTTTCAGAGAATACCAATTTTGTGTACAAAACATGCGATTTAGTTTGTTTACTGTGTGCTTGTTTGTACTTTGAACATTCCCCCATACAAAGAGAATAATTTAGCTTACTCAACGTAATTATTTGCTTTCCTTCTTTATTCAAGATCAATTACGTTAATATTTAATAATTTACGAAACAAAGTAATATGTGAAAAAGTATTTTTTTATTGAAAAACTCTATCAAAATTTCTTCATAAAAAGAAACAAAATTTTGTGCAAATTTCGATTCAGTGCTAGTTTTTCCATTTATTTATCATAAAATAGCCTGAAGTTATAAACTTTTTTTCACAAAGATGAGAAAAATACAAGAAAAATAAACATAAACACATACTACCCTCGAGATTGTACTCTGAAGTACCCTGGCTTCTCATAACTCGTCAAGGTGAGGTTGTTAGCACCAGCCGTGTTGGATCCCAACACAAGCTATTGTCCGCTGAAGAGAGTGTATAAGTGTTAGTTTATTGTTATCCACTACCCAGTGGGCAAGTTTTACATATTTTAAGTTGGCCCATAGAATTCGAGTCTATGTTTGACACTTATATAAACGAAAGATTTAACCTTCACAAAAAAATTTGTTGAAGTTTTATAAAAAGGTACAAAAACTCATTGTCACTTTTTGTTAAAAATAGAGCTATTTCTATAAAATCAAATATTTCATATGTTTTTTTTTATGTACAGGTGATACATCGGTTTCAAAGTTTATATGAAGATGAACTCTTACAATCAATTATTTATCGAACTTGGTCTTAAATTAGGTCATTTGAGATTTACCAAATTCAGGTCATAAAATGGAATGGATTGTTTCCAGTACGTAAAGATTCGTCTGGAAGATTTGGTGGTTCATTCAGAATGTTTTATGCTTCGTTGAATCCTATGGTTTGGAATTAATGGCTCTTCGTTATTAACAGGAGTTTCTTCAACTTTGAAAAGTCTTAAATTTACTGAGAAATATCCAGTGAAATGAAAAACAAAAGGTAAGTAATAAAAAGTACTATTTCAGTTTTATTTACTTTGAGTAGTTTATTTTAACTGTTCACGATATTACAAAAAATTAATTTTTTTCATGAAATATAAAATAAAAATATATAATAATTTTTTTAACAGATGTGTTCATGCACATACGATTATGATCTAAGATTGACGATGGATTATTGATCATGGAAGTTCTTGAGCCGTTTGGTTTGAAATCTCGAACTTGATAAAAAATCCAATGTCGAATAAGACTAAAGGGTAAGTAAAAGAAATAAAAGATATAAGGTTATAACTCTTAGTAATATCGTGCTTGTCGCGATTATTTCACAAAATTGACCCTTCTTTCTATGTTTCTTCGTTAAGTCACCCCTTATGATATTTTTTTCTCACCCTTATATTCAACTTTTTTCTTTTCTTTTTCTGAAACACTCGACAAGTTCCTATATAAGAAATGCAGACACAGCAAATAATATTATGAATTACTTGTGAGTCTCTCAAGACACATTATCGTTTGCAATTAAAGGAAAGAGTACCATCCTTTGGGATAAAAGGGATGATCCGACAGGGGATAGAATATTAAGAATAAGAAGGGTGTAAAAGAGTAGTTATCGTAAATTCTTAATTCGAATCGCAGCGTAAAAGTAAAAGTTGCTTGACTTCGTGGCAAACATTGGCAATAACAGTACTAACTTTCTTACGTTAATGATGCTGTTATACATTCTTTCAAAGGGTTTACATAAAGGAAAGGGTTATATAGACAGAGAAAAGGAATTTAGAGCTACGCGAATGTGAAACCTGGAGAATAAAGTCACTGATGGGAGCTTCTTCTAGAGTTTAACTAAGATAACTTCACTTGTTTCCTTAAATACTTGGAGATACGCTAGCGTCAAATTGGCTTCATCCCTTCGTTATTCTATTTAATTTTCATTTTCTTGAATTAAACTTTTAAGAATATAGAGTGAACAATTTATTAAAATTATAGAGATTTATTAATGACTAGATTCATTTTGGGTTATCAGATTATTATGAATTTTGAAATAGCTTAAAAAATAATGAAAAATTGCAGAAAATAATTGTTGAAGCTAATTGTAATGTAAATGTGAATGAAGAAATAACTTGTAGGTACGAATTAGTCAAACTAACAAAAGGGTTAACTTTGGAAGTTACCCCCATGGGTGTCCTCTCGTTCAGTGGCCGCAATCGCGTCTCGAATGCGATCCACAATTCCACAAATGGGGCGGTTCGAGACGCAGAACAAAAGATGTAATAATTCTGCGACCCCTTTCTAGTTTCTCTCGCTGCTCTTTCTCTTTTACTCTTGTTGTAACTACCTCCGGTTACCATAACCCTCTTTCGGGAAACCAACATCGTGCTCCTTCCTCCTTTTGTTGTCAAGACAAACAAGAATCGTTTGCTCTTCATGCAGCTACGACGCGTTCAGAGATCCAGGGTGGAATTTTAATTACACGAATATCAACAGCCTATTCCTAACTCTCATCAATTTAGGAATTTATCTCAATTTTGAAACTTTTTAAATTTCTCATCGATGAATATTTTCTGTTGGAACATTTAATTACCTCAATTTATTGTTTGATAGTTTAAATATCAGTAATAGAATTTAAATTTTCATTTAAACTAAAACAATTTCAATTATGTAGAAAGTTACATCTCCCCAATTATTTCTCTTTGTACAAACTACAAGTGAATTTTAAGATTGGCTAAAAAGACGAGTTATTGTGTGGCATTTTGTTGAAAAATGGTTCAATTTTCTTTGACAATCGACAACGTCTCGCTTGGGTGCTAAACAATACTCGGCGGATTCAATAAAACCGCGACAATACCAAGGGAGAAAACGCTGGGTTTCCGGCTGTTCTGCGTGGCAGGCAGTGGCGTCGTTGCTGTGAGAATGGGAAACACCGTGCCTCGGTAATTTGAATGAAAAGACGAAAGACAATGCGTTCGGGAAAGGGATAGGAGAATGTCAGTAACGCAAGAGATAGAGACTAAAAGGGGTGGGAGTGGGTGAAAACAACCGCAGAATCAAATTAGGGGTGGGACAACTGTAGTTTGTAATTATATTTACAAGTGGTCGTACTCGCGAAACAAAAGCCCTACCTAAAACCATTCTTCAGGCTCTTTTATCTCCATAATTCTAGCAATACACCTTTAGGCAATTTTTAAGCTCAAGATTGCTCGGTTCCTCTTGTCATTATCCTTAAAAAGCATTAAATCTTTTTTAAGTAAATTAATTAATCGATATTAATTACATAAAAACAATTACATTACTTTTTTATTTTTTACTTTTTGTGGATGAATTACATGACTATGTAATTAGAAAATAATTCATTAGTATTAATTTGTTAGAATTAAAGACAAATGATTTGTAGTAAATAGATTAAAACGGTTTTTCAATTAAACTAAAAAACAAATTTTCTTACAGGTTTTCCGATAGAGTCTTTTCTAAAGGCTTCTATGTCACAAAACCGAGGGTAACATTTTTATAAAGGAAACTGGAGAGAAACATTAATAATGATATAATGGAATAAAAGAAGAAAATTAAATCAAGAGTATATTTGCACTGGTAAAGAAAGTGAATACTATGAAAGAGGGAGTAGCAATATCACCGGAAATGAGCATGGAAAGAAGGAAAAAAATGCTGACGCAGGTACTCAAAGTATATTCACATAGGATGTTAGATGAAAAAAGAGAAAGAGAAAAAACAGTATGACCCTTGAGGCGAGAGTACTACCTTGAATATTATGGATAGAAACGTTTTAGGAAAGGAGGGCGTAAGGTATTTCTGGACATAGCAAAATGAAAAGATAGTTGTCGTTCTTTTCCTTTCTTCAATCTATCTATATACATATCAATTTCGTTGCCTGACATTTTTCATGCTTTCTATATGTTTACTGTCGTCCACTTTTGATATTTTCTTACATCTCTTTATGGATAGTCTGAGATTCTTGTATAAATTTTTTCTTATGTGCATTCAGTTGTGTGATTGAAAAGGAGATGCTCTTCTGAATGCTGAGATTCCAAGTTTTATTTTAACTTGATCAAATATTTAATGAAAAAAAGGCAAATTAAATATTAATTTTCAATACGTTAAAGCTTAAATAGACATTTATTTTGTTCAGTATAATGATTTCAATTGTTTGAAAGAATATCTATAGTATTTTAATTCCTACCCCTTGGTACTTTTTGCTCGACAATGTGTCCCACGAGCAATCGGAGTCCAGCGAGGCGAGAATGAAAAGTAAAGAAACAACAGGGAGACTATCGCTTGGAAAAAATCAGAATTAAAAGAAAGGTCAGAGATAGGATAGAAATTTTTTAAAGCTTTACTCGACTATCAACACTGTTGTCAAATACCCTGTTTTGAAATTGCTCTAATTAAAATAATTCTTTTAAAATTGAATACGTTTTTAAACATTAAATTATTAAAAAAAAAAAAACAAATCTTTGATTTGTTGCAAGAATAAGTAATTTTTTACTTTACTTGCAAGAGTTGGACAAAAGATCTGGAAGAAATAAAAAAGTATAACAATTTAATGAAACTTTGGCCTTCCTTAAAGAAAGCCACCTGAGGGAATGCAAAGACGAAAGAAAAAATATATAATATTGCAACGTTTTAATAAACTGAGTTAGGCAATCAAGGAAGGACATTAAAAAGCTTTGTTGTTTTAACGACCGTTTTACGCGTGCTTAAATCACACTTCGCAAGTCTCACTCCCTTCGAGAAACCTCTCGAGGTGGTAGTTGTGAGTACCAGGTTGAAGTATGGATACACAATGCTAGAATAGAAATATTTTTATAAGAGTTATGGAAATGAAAAAAATGTGAAAACTTTCTTTTCAACCCCTCTGTGTCAACTCACCCCCTCCTCATTCTACTATTCTCCCTGGGGTAGCTTTTTACCTTTTATACTTTAGGCGGGTGCAGGGAACACGCATCAGCCACCCGGATATTATTTCAGTCCGCGCATATTTCCGTAAATGAATTTTATGAAAACAATTTTTACTTTTTTAATTAATCGCTGTTATTTGCTCATCCTTGATTTTTACTCATATATTTTTTCTCTTTCTAAAACTTTCAACGTCAGATTCATAAATTTTATACATCCCTTTTTTTTTATTTTATTACATTTGAATAATTCCAAAAGTAACTTTATATAAAAAAATTGAACGTAATTAAATTTAAATTGTTTTATTATGATTGAATGAAAAAAAAATGATTATTAAATAATCAAATTAAATAAAAATAAATTTAAATACGATTTGGTTTGCCAGCATAACTAACTTCATTCTAGATATGTTAGAATCTCATTCAAACAATCAGACCTATTACAATAACTTCTAAATGGAGAGTTAAAAAAAAATGAAGATTAAATAGCAAAATAAATCAAACAATCAGTCGTTTCATATTTCATGAACTTAAACGGTCGCGTGATGGATAGACATTTACTAAAAAGAAAAACTAAATAATAAAAAGTAAAAGTTTAAAATCTATCAAAAGACTGACTCACGTGAACCTTACCAAGTGTTGAGGTATGACAAATGACAGCCACTCGAAGTAAATTGGTAATTTTTCTCAAGCTCTTGCTAGCAGTAATCATTGGCAATTAGTATACGGCGCACCCTCTATAAATGTTATTTATAGCAAGTGATTATCTACGGGCACGCCTAACTGCAAAGGTATACTGCTGCTGAATGTTGATCTCTGCATAATTCAATTAATATTCTTATTAAAAGAATATCATTGTACTCTTTATCTGAATTATCACATTATCAATCTAAAAGAAACAATTATTAACTTATCATTTGCAAGTGATTGTAACAGGTTTGATTTTATTGTTTTAAGAAAAATATTCATGGGTGTGTGGTGTTAGATATTAGCAAAAAAGTTATTGATTAAAATGTGCAGGCTTGAGCAAGCAAAAATAGCAAGTGATTTTTTTTATTACTCTCGTGTAATTTTATTGGATTGTTGCATTAGTAATTGCAAAAATGTAACATTTATTTTAAAATTATTAACGATGTGGTAAAGCGTGAATTCCCTGTTGATAAAAATTGTCTAATTTTGAATGAAACAATAATTTTAGGTTCTTGCACTATTGTAAAGACTTATTCAACTACCCAACACTTAGGAAGAACCTTGGTCCAGAATAGGAGATTCGATTTTCTGCTACTTAGATTTTTATTTGCACCCAAAATGGGATAATGGTTAAAAAAACATTAGAATCTGATTCTGCTAGTTTTTGAAAAATGTTTACCTACTCAGGGTTAGTTTTTTTTTAAAAAGTTTTCATTCTTAATTAAGAATAAAATCATAATTATTTTAGGCATAGAAATATTGAAGTGGATTATGAAATATATTGTGTACATGAATTTCGTGTGTTGAAATACGCGTCGACATCATAAATTCGCGATGTTCAGCTGAATTTCGAGTCAATTCGTGCGAATCAAGATTACTGAGGTCTTGTACGATGCTTTTTGCCTCCACACGCCCCAATAGAGTTGGATTCAAGCTTCTCTTGAATACACAATGCGATTTATCCGTTTCACTCGCGGTATATAACACAAAGGGCCACGAGTGCTTGTATGATTGGTAAATTATTGACGTAGATTTTGTTCAACCAATCACGTAGGAACCTTAAATATTTGAAAGGAAACAAGTATGAAGAACGTTATAGGATCCTCAACAGTTTCATATAATAAAAGACATGAGAAATATTGGAAGAGCTGGGGAAATCGAGTGTGGAAATACGTTATTGAAGATATGACATTAAAATTTTATGGTTATATTAGCATTTTTATACTACAGATAACAATATTATTAACATCTGAACAATTCTCTGTTTCAATCAATGAAAGATTTCTTTTTTTTTTTGTTTTATTTTTATATCTTTTAAAATTATACAATTATTGAGTATTATACAAAAACAGTTTGAGAAGTTATTACATAAAATATAACATTATTTAATCAACTATCGAATGTTGTAAAACACATTTATTATTATTAGGAAAAATTTTGTTTCCAAAAGAAATAATTTCATTTTATTACTCAGTCACTTTAATGAAATTAGTTTTATAAATTCATGAAATATAAAACGATGTTACAATATTTTTACAATATTATTATTCAGTTGATTATTATTATAATCAGTTAATAATTTTTTACATGAACAAAAAATCTTTTGTTCTTTTACGTTAATTGAATTACTATAGATATTCAATAGAAGATATACATATTTATTGAATTATTTTCACTATTTATTGATCCAATAATTAGAAACATTCTATTATATATACTTTAATATAATTTGTTATATTTTACATACAATATAAATATTTTGTATATAACAATATCATGGAAGCATTTGTCGCAGGTACGGATGGTTTTAAACCCTCGAATATGTGTGTTCTTTTGTACACAGTAAAGAAATAAAGCATTCAACTCGCTCTCTACCCTCTCCTCCACCTTCTAACACCCCAAAAACTTTGGGTATAACTCAGCCTCGTTATCTGACTCGCAAATAAGGCAACGTAAAAGTTGGCCGCATCAATCTGGCCTCTACGGAGATTCGAAGTTGAAACGACGCTAAGTCACCCTTAACGTATTACACCCCCGGGGGTGCCCGGCGACCGTAGCGGCCGATCTCGATTTATCTACGAATTTACCTCACTCTCTTTCGGCAAATTCGCTCGAGCAAAACTTTGAATTTTATTCTAATATCTTTACTTATTTTTTTTCTTATATTTTCAAATATCTTTTTATTCCAATTTTTAACGAATTTATCTTCTAATGAGCACCAAAATTTTTTTAATAACTTAATTATAAATTAAATTTATATTAAATCTTACTTAATTAATTTTAGACAATTAATATTCTAATTCATTTAAAGACATTCTTAAATTTTATTAAATTCCATACCTGCGATCACAATTTAATTCGCAAATTATTTTCATTTTTCTACTTTTTTTTTTTTGGTATCCAATAATTAACTTTGGTTTTAGTCATTATTTATTTGTGGGTCAATCGAATCAGTAGCAGTTAAGAAAAATTTATCTTTGGCAGCATTAAAGAATTTTTATCTTTCTTCAATTTTTTATAATTCATCATTGCTTCAAGATTCGATCCTATGATTGTATCTTACTTTGGTTGTCATTTGGTGTCGTATGTAGCTTGTGCGTTGATGCCGTTTAAATTATTCATGGGATTTAGAGCGTTATGGGTAGTCGACGTAGCAGGCGTTGGATACCCATTGTGGTTATGGCCAGAGTCTCCGTTTGGTTGTCTCGTTGCGTTACCCTGTGTTACCTACAAAAGACAAAAGAATAATATTTCCATTAGGAACTTGGCCAAGTGTTTTGATATCACAAAAAATTCTTAATAAAAAAATAACTCCAAGATAAATATATACAGTGTCCTCCAAAAGTTAGATGAAATAAGCTATGATTCTTTTCAAAAAAGACTCACTGCAAATCCAGTGTTTTTTTCCTTATAAGATTGAATGATGTAAAAATACCTATTAATAACAATTAAAATGCTACTTATGTGTGCAAAAATCTGTGTAATAATAAGTAATGGTTCATGATCTAGTAGTTAATGCAACATAAATTAATTAAAGAACAAATAAACAAAAAAATAGAATGAATTTGAGTCTGAAGCCCCAAATATGGTAGTTAATTTAATAATTTTGTTTCTATCGACAAGTAAAGTAAGCTACAGTTTAGAAACAAAAGGTCGGAGGAACTTGTATCTTAACTCGGGCGAGTAACTTGACTCAGTGAAAGGTTGGGGGTGCGGAGCCCTCTCGAAGCCATATTTATGTGGAGCGAAAGCTGTAGAATGACTTGAAGCGTAAGAGAAGGGAAAGAGAATTTAGGAGAGATGCTAGGCGAGCCGTTGAAAACTTGAAACTTTCGACTCCTCTGCTTCCCACCTTTTCGAGTCCACCCTCTCTATGAGTGAAGCTTACACGGGCAAGGTGTTAAATTAAACAAGCTTAAAATTTGCAATCATCCCCCTACTTTATACTAACTGAAGACCAAGTTTGCCATTTCGAACTTTCGAATATTCACTCTCGATTATCTCTCTTGAGATGTCTAACTTGCTTTCATTTATTCAAATAATTATTTAAAAAAAAAAACAATTCTTTTAAACTAAGTCTTAGAAGAATGATTATTAGGAAAATTAATATCAATAATGTCTTGTACTTGACAAAAGTACTGCTACACTTAGTTACAGAAATATTTTTTCGCACATTCTATGGGAGTTTAAAGGTGCAATAAAATATAATAAATTTAGCCGTCGTAACTCTTTCTCTGGCAATTGTAGATAAAAGTTGAATAAGTCATAGACTTAATTTACCTCGGCACGAGCCGGTGGCTGTAGTCTTTCTCAGAGATTTCTTAATTACGTAAAAGAGAGAGAGATAGGAAAAAAAGGTACGACAATGCTCAGGCTGGTAGCAATGTAGAAGTCATGCTATGCTAAGGGTTTTCAAAGGGGTGAAAAAGGGACTCGAAGATTTAGGGATTTCTGACGTACTAACATTTCCGCTATGGCGATAAAGAACTTCTCTTTTTGTCATTTTTATCACTATTATTTACGATCTAATTACTCTCACAGACCACATAATTCAGTACGGAAAGACTTGAATCGTTATTGTGGAAAATGAATTGTTTATTTTAAATTCATTCATTGATGATAAAAATGCAAAAGTGATGAATTGTTTTTGTTTTGTGTAGACAAATACATTAGCACCTTTAATGATAATTTCTTTTCCATTTCATTTGTAATCAAAATACTCGCAAGTAAGACATTAATAGGGGGTGGATCGGAAATAGTTGGTGAAACGAAATGCGTAAGAAATAGGAATGGTTCGGGTATGGCTTGGGAATCGCGTGCCATTTGTCTGTTGATCTCTTGGGGTTGTGAACCAACCAGGTGTATATTTCCTCAGCTCTTTTTGCGCGAAAAAATTAGCACGTTTGCAGAAGTTTTAGGAATGTCCGAGTCTGAGAGATAATAAAGAAGAAAAAGTGGTCATTTGTAGAGAAAAGAGTATTCGTGTTCATAGGTCTGTAAGATTAACCATTAGTTAACGATCCTCTAGGGGAAGTTTATTTTTTTCATAGTCTCAGTAGATATATACATAAAAGGTAGAATAAGAAATAAAATTTATTATTATAATGAATGATTGGCAATTAAGTTTGATATAATCCTCTGTCGTGTTGATCCAAGTTGAATCGCAAGCTCATTGTGTTGAGTAATGAGAGTGAAGAGGAGAAAAGGGGAGTGAAAAAGACGCAAGGGCGTAATAATCGTTATAAAAGTGGAGGCTGAAACTTGGAGTTTGCAACAAAACTCATAATCTCACGTAAGCTCGCAAGCTGGACTTTCCCATGCGAGACTCCCTCTTCTTCCCTCGTCCTTGAGTCAGTTCTCTTGGTGCGTTTGTACGCGAGTTTAGGCCCTTATGTGAAATTCAGCTTGCTTAATAATATGCTCATTAGAAGGATGAACTATTTAAATTATAGTTGTATATATTTTTACATTTATATATCGTATGTCTAGACAGTATTTATGGCAATGGTTATTAAAAGAATCGAATATACCAATTTTTACTTTTCAATTAATTCTATCATTTGAAAAAAAAACTAAAACCAATAAGAGCAGTAATTATAACCGAAACATGTCTTTCTATTTTTATTTAATTCTTTATGAGAATAAATGGATGAAACTAATAATAATATAATTTAATATATTCATAGAATACTGTTTAATTTAACTTAGTTAAAGTTCAAAATACATTAATAATTGATGAGCAAATTTCCTGAATAATACATATAAATGTTTAGTCATTAAATAATTAATTAATACAACATTAATAATTATTAAATATTTGCCTAAATAAAATATTGGTTAATATATATATTTTTTTAACTAAAGTTGAATGAGTTTCAGCATTATTGCTTTTAGAGAATGTGGATTGATCTGAAGAAAATTGATTTGTCAATTATAAATAGAGTATTATTAATCTCTTGAATAAATAATTAACAGAATTGGTCCCATAACTGTTTCTATAATAATCATAGTTGTGTAGATACTCATTCAAGGAGTAATTCGACTCACGAGCATTGATCCTCTTAAATTTCCATGTAGCTGCTTCTGAACATTAGCATATTATCTCGTCCCGTCACCAACCCTTAGTATTTCAATCCCCACCCCTTAAAGATCCGTAAAGGACTTTGCAGACACTTGAGAGTTTGTTTTAAAACTCAGATAATCGTTTCGAGCCTTAACTCACCCTCTTACTAACTTACCCTCCAATGTGACTCTCAAGGGTGACATTAGATCAAAATAAAAATCTTGTCCAATTATTTTTCAAAATCCAATACAAGATTTTTATAATTTTTCCCATTTTATTATCTCAAATAATAAATTTCTTACCGTTTTGTTTTTTATTTATATACCACTAGATCTATTTATTTGTCTCTTAAATAAAGTTACGTGATTACCTTCTGAAACATTGGGACAGCTGTCTGTTCACAAGCAATCAGAAAAACTACCCCTCTCAACTTTACCACCCTCAAGTACTCTTCATCCACTTCTCTTCCTTTTCCCTTGCCAAGTCCGGCTTAAGGAAGCATCGTCACCCTGAGATGAGAGTCTCCCTACCCCCCTCTCACAAGTCTCGAACCAGAACGTCTGCCACTTGGTGGTTTTTAAGAACCTTAACGTCTCTCGTTGATTCCGTTATCAAGATCGTACTACTTGGCACTTTGCATTTTGTTACGAACGCTAATTCCCACCTCCAATCTTTTTCATTTTCTTTTTCTCTAGAAACAAGCTTCCTTTTTTTTTTCTATTCAAATATTTTTTCATTTATTACGTTAATTAGGTTGATGTTAATTAATTAGGTTTTCATTTATTAGGTTGGCAAGAAAATATTGAAATACATAAAACAATTTTCAATTCTAATATTTATTTAATTATCTCCAAACTCTAATCTCCAATGCAGTCTCCATGTCCATCAATGACTTGTGTCCACCATGAGAGCAGAGACATTGCAGTAAAATCATAATATTTTATATCCCAGTATTTTTAGATTGTAAAAGTGTTTCACTATTTTCTTGCCAAACTCATATTTAACAAAAGAAAAAAAGAAGTCAAAAGGACGTCTTTTGATTCAGAGTAAAAATGATGTTGTCATCTTGAGAGATGAAAATATAATTGATAGAGTGGAAGCTTAATGAATATAAAGGAGAATCGAAGGTATGATCGTACAGTCGGACACCTTTGAATGGTCATGACGCTCTTATTCAAGTGCCACCCCTATAGTATCGCGAGAGACGTCGAGTGGGATCCGTCAGGGCTTAAGGGTAATAGATGCTTCGACGACATTAGCATGCTACCCCCCGATTATATTGGTATTAACCGTTGACACGTCCTCCCCTCCCAACATCTAACGGCTTATTTTCTACGTCGTTATACACGAGTCATTTATAACATCCCCCTTTCATACTCGAAAACATCAATTTAGGTAAACAATCCCGTCATTCTTTTTTTTTTATTTTATTTCTTTGAAAATAATAAAAATTACATTAATTAAAGCTTCTTCGAATATCTCAACATGAACTAACCATATAAAATGACGTTAAGTTTGTTTAATGGCAAGGGGCTAAAATAAACAGGTTGGAGGGTGGGAAATCAACATTTGCATATTATAAGTAGTACACGTTACTAACAGCGATATCATCAAGCTCGTTATTCTATGCGTGGCTATATATATATATGCAATTCGTGTGAAACTACCCTTCCCATTACACACTCGCCCTCCCTTAGGGAAATCCACCAGCAGTATCGCTTCTATGGTTAGAGATCACGCATCTCTCATCGACTTACTTTTCTCTTATACCTTCAAAATAATTTAATCATTTTTTTACACGTCATAAAATTTATTTTACGATTAACTAGTTTTAATAATTCACTGATTTTACCAAAATTATAGCTATTTATTACTTGGTATTTTCATTTATTTCCAATGATCTGTATCTGATTAAAAAGATTTAATATTACATGTCTTTCGTCTATTTACTTAATTATAATCTAAGTGTAGTGATTAATTTTTACTTCAGTTACTACACAAGATTTATTTTCTTCTAAATTAATGCCTCACTATAATATAACAGTCATATTAATAAGATTCTACCTTCAAAGATTATCAGAATGTTTTATGTAGTTAGAAATTGTGCATTTTAATCTCAACTAATTGTATTTTACGACGGAAAAAATAATGAAGGAAATTATGTGAGACTGGAAATAGTGATATTGTTAAGTAGAATAAGTGAAGCTTTGGTCAGTCAACATAAAATAATAATTTATTTGTTATAGATTGTGTCATCTTTATATTATCCAGTTCAATTACAAAGGATTTACGATCAGGTTATCTTTGAGAATTCAATCATGCTCTCAAAGATTAAGATTTTTCTTCAAGTAACTAGATCAAGGGATGTCTGAGGTGCAAGATGATGCTGTGGCATGCAAGCTTAGCTCGTCTTAATTAATAAGGACACGCGATATCCTATAAGATGTGGAGATGAAGCTTAAAGGCACACGATTTTCTCCTCAGGCTAGTCCTTTGTTGTCAAGAGGGTCAGGTCATTTTAACCCTAAGCTTCAAAGGTTCTCACGTCTATACAACATCGTATGCTTCGCCCGGAGGTTGTTGTCACAAGCTACAGGGTTATACATGGACGATTTATTGAAAGAGTAGACAGCTACTGAAGCTTTTAAGGAGCTTTTTATATTTACCTGAGGCTGCAGGTGTGTAACCTGACGCTTGATGTGTGCCAATGTTGCTGTTGGCGGTGGATGTAACGCCATGTTTGCAAATACAAGCCTTTCTTCATAATCATATTCACAAAGAATTTTATTTTCACATAAATAAAATCTATCTCCAACGCAGAACCTGTAAGTATATTATTTTTTAATTAGATTTAAATAAACATAATAATAATTAAAATTATTTTTGTTATTTAGGAACACTTTGGAAGTTAATTTGATGGAAGAAGACTTAAAAATCAAGTAAGTTCATCTCTACGTTTGTTTCATCAACCGATAATTTTCTTCTCCCTAAAAATAGGTGAGACAGTAAAGCACCGTGCTAACTCCGTTTAAGGCCGTTTTCCGTTCCGCTTCGTCAAGGAAATTGCGGGAAAATGAAGCCAAAAGAAAAAATATACATATACACAACGAATAAAATCCCTTCCTGTCTCTAGTTTCCGCAAGATACTCAAGCGTTTTAAATGCAAATTTCCAGTCGATTCGCATCTTGTTTCTCCATTTCCTCGATTTCGCCAATCGTCAGGATTTTTTGAAGAGTTTTATTTGAAATCAAACAGTATGATCAAGTCACGTGAATTCATCAGGATTCGGTAAGGAAACGTGTCTAGCTTGCGTTATTATGTTGAAACATAAGCAATAACCCAAGGGCTAAAATCGTACGTATCGCACCAACTGTCGCCGGGCTTTAAAAAAGTTCAAGTATTCACGTTTTCTTTTTATTGCTGGTTTTAAAAGCCGATCTTACCGGGGGATTTTTTCCTTGAGAGGGTGGCCTTCAAAAATCGCTCTAAGATTGTTTGAAATTCGTCATGAGTCTCTAGAATATCAGTCTCTCGTCTTGTAAATATTCTCTTGTCATTGCTCATCATCATATTTATATAGGATGTCATTTATCTTTATAAACAGTCGAATTTTTATTAAGCTAGTATCAATATGTCAAAGTTTTGTTTTATTCAAGAAAAATTTTTATTACTTTGAATTTTTATTTGAATCTATTTATCATAAGCTGATTTTTGAAAAGAATATTAACATTTGCATTTAAAGGAAATAATAATTTATTACTAAGTATTTAGTCCAATTGTTAACAAGCTATTCAATGATTCTTTTAGAAAAAAAATATTCTAAAATATGAATATTAAAATTTATACTAAGAATATTTTTTTCTATTGTGTATTCAGAATGCGCGTACTCATCTCGTTGGGATTTTTACGTCAAAATTCCTGTCGAGTGGTTTATTCCTGTGCTTATGTAAATGCAGACGTGATTTTGTTTTATTTCATCCCACTATGTTGAAGTACTGAAATTTTTCGAGTTATAAAAAAATAAATTCATGTCGTTAAATAAAAGTTACTAGTTATACATTTGAAATACGCATAATCTACAGATATTATATCCAAGTTATGTATTCATTTTTTTTTTTCTTTTAATTTTTACCAGAGATTTGAAAGCAATGTAGTGCCATCGATATCTATAAAAAGCAATGTGGCATCATAACGTGCTACGATAAGTACCTAGTGGCATTGGAATCGATACTAGCGTCAAATCACGTGTCATAAAAAGCCGTCGGTGCTTGCAGATTCCACTATAATGTCCCTAGTGATTACCCATTCAGCGATATGCCTCGTGTTTTCATGATAAGAATGACAAAACCACTAAATGGTGAAAGCATTAGTTCAATTGATGATTTTTTGTTGCTGCAATAAAAATGTGAAGCTGAGAATAAAAATGAAAAGAAATTTATTCGAAGGTAAATGGTAAATAAAGATTGAAGTCTCAAATGAAATATTATTTTGTTCAAAAAATAATTGTTTTTTTTTTTAATTTACAGACTCGGAAATCAACTATTTATTGAGCAACGCCCAAGATTTGTTAGCAAACAACAAGAAACCATAGATGACATTGGAGTGAGATGAAGATGAAGGGAGAGGGTTTGAATAAACTTCTCTTCGATCAAGAATTCCCGAAGGAGGATGCTCACGGTAGTTGGCGTCGCTCTTAGTCAATTTGCATCAAGACTACTAAGAGGCTGAGAGACAAATCCGTTGTCCTTTTCTATCGGATCAAGTCCTTGTGCATCTTCAGTCGTGCAGTAGCTGAGTCTAATGCGTTTAACAGAGACTCAAGGCTCTAATCAGATCTGTTGGAGTGAAGGAAGCTTGCAAAGGCATCCAACGCGATGTTAAGTGTGAAGTTAATGGAGTCATGGTAGCGTAGACACTTTGTGAAGAGTGTTGGTTATAGACATAGCTTTGGTTATTCATGCAAAGACGAGTTTGCACGACTGTTTCCACCAGCCTGGATGAATTAGGAAAGAGGTAAATCAACTTCTTTATCATTTTTGCCGTCAAATTGTTTCCTGAATGAATTTGTGGCCCAAGATGTCAATAATGGCGACTGCTAACTAATTTAGAATGTCAGGAATTGAGAAAGCTTGGCACTAATTTGATCAAAACTGAACTCTTGGAGTAGATTGGATCGAAATAGTTGGGGAATCATCGTTGTAATGCTTCTAAATGTCTTGGACTACTGTGTAAAGGGTGCGTTATGTCTGCTTTAGTGCGACAGATTTACTCTGCAGACGTTTGATGCTATCTAAATGTCAAGAAGCAACGTCACTTGACATTATATCTCCATTGACTTGACATGGTATTTTAGTTTCAGAAAAATCAAAATGTTTTAATATCTTAACTAACATGTTTCAATTGGCTCACGATAACTGAACAATTTATGTGATAAGTATTAAAGCTTGATTAATAATGAAAAATGTATTTCTCTGATTTGAATATGCAGATTGCTTCAACGTATTTAATATCTTCTAAATTCATGACCATCAATAATCTTAGAGATTGCTCGCTGGTTAGTAAGCAATATTAATGACAAAGATCTGCGGAGAATTAAGTGACGTTAGACGGCCAAGAGTTGGTCCTTGTGAAAGGGTTGAGACTAAGAACCCTAAAGGGGATGAAACTGCGATATTTCTGCGTCGAGTATTTTCGCTCCCTTCAAGTGTATAATCACATTAACTCTTTTAAAAGACTTAGTCCAATAAAGACTCGCGGAAAAACATAAATTTGCGTGAAAATTGAGTACTTTACTTCTTATGAAGCTTTTAATCAAGTAAAAAAAAAAGCTTTATTACTTTGACATTCCACAGATTTATTGAAATATTATTAGAACTTTATATAAATTTATTTCGCAAAGAATTAAAAGAAAAATTATACGCAATTCACTTGGGAGTCAATTTTAGAAAAATTGAAGTGCAAGCTGGAACTTAGCTTCGAACATTATCGCCTTGGGAACTACTCTGGCTGCTTTCTAACGGAGGATTAAGTATGACTTAGTACTCAAGTTTCCATCATTAGCCGGTCTTCTAATAAGTTGTAGAGTCCACCCTCAAACTCTTACCCTTTCCCACTCAGTTTTCTCGAGTGAGATACATTGGCCAAGTTAGCTGCCTTACCGTCGGGCATTGTCAAGGTTTCCTTAGGGAAGTTTCCCCGGCTTCTCGCAACCGATTAGCTGAGAGTTTGTCCGAGGATTATTCAAACCCTTACTCGAACTTTGATTAGAAAAAAAAACACATTAATTTATATATATATTGATTAGATGAAGATTTAAGTCATGATATTTATCAAAAACTTTGAACATTTTCTTCTATTATGATAATTATTAAACTATAAATAAAATTTGAACGCATTGATGAAGATAAAGAAGTTGAACATTGTTATTAACTCTTCAAGCGTAGGGTACGACTAGTTTAAGTAAGTCTTATCTAGTTGGAGGCAGCTTGTTTGACTTCCGGGGCTGTCTCCTCTGACCGGACGCACTTGATAACCAAATATCCCGAGTGTGGCGAGCAAGCTTAGCCCAGTTTAATCCTTTCCGGGATACCTCGTTTCTCTAGTTTATTATTAAGTCTAAGCTTCGTCTCGACTGTCTAAACCTACTTGAGACCCTTTCTAAGTCTTCTATTTCTTACTAACAAATAGTTCTCGATTTTGCTAGTGAATGGTATCAATAAGAAATATCAAGGAAACTTTGATTAACTTGTACTTCATATAAATTATAACCATATGCTTATAGCTTTCTCTTGGAATTTATATTATGACATAAATAATGGGAGAAATATGATGTGACATTTTTATTGGCTTTTTTTTTTTCATGAGAATAAATAGAACTTGAGATTTTTTTTCACATCATAAATCGAATTTCTTCTACAAATGATCAATCTGCTATGATGAAGTTAATAAGACAGAGAAATTTATCGTAATCAAACTGATCTAGCTCTTATATCCAAGAAGTAAATCCTGAGTGTCTGTATGTAAGGTTAAAGGGGGTTAATCTTTGCCCGGTAGCAAAAGAGATCGCCATATTTCTCAATAAACGATAAATCAGACACGACACACTTCTCTCCCTTGCTGCAATTCTCTCTGGCTCTCTTCCAGCTACACTCGTATTTCCCTCCTTGTGCTTGCGGCCCATTAATCTATGGTTATCTACGGCGCGTTGGATAAGTGCGCGGGAATGAGCCATTTCGCCCTTGGGACTTGGTAGGATCGGCATCATGTTCAGTCGACAAGAGAAGGGTCAATTCCACTTATTTAAGACATCATGAACTCAAAAGTAGAACATACACCTTGACAAGGGTAGAAAAGAAAATCTTTTTTCTTTATAATATCAATGTCTTATTAGATCATGTCATGTAAATATTCTGAAATTTTAATTTTTTTTCAATTACACAGAAATACCATGGATCCTACCATGATTGGATCCATTCTGTTCTTATTCTGTCTTCAACATCAGTGTCATGTTGTCCAAGTATTGTTGTTTTATTTAAAAATATTATGAAATTATTATTGATCCAAGAGTATCGTTTGTTGAGTGCACTGAAGATCTAAGTAAAAAGTTTCTTGAAGAAATAAAAACGATATCGTTTTATCTTGACGTCTCTATAAGGTTTTGTTCGGTGAATAATGCGAGTGGGTTATCGTCCAACCTTCAGTCTCATAATTCTAGAAGAATCCTCTTCTGTCGTATAGAATAAGGTAGAGCTAACGAAGAAAAGAACAACTTTGCACGCGTGGCGCGTACCTACAGACTTTTTTGTTTCTTCCTTCCTCTCTGCAGTCTTATCGCCAAAAAGTTAAGTGGAAGAAAATGGGCGGACACGAGAAAAGTTGAAATTGATGCAGTGGACGGGCCGGTAGAACTCAGTCAGTTGAGCAAACTTTCTTAACATACGAGCTTGGTTATGAGAAGAATAAAAATAAGAATGAGTAGTGGATGAGTTGATAACATCAGCTTGTAACCCAACCCAAATAGTTGCCAACTAGTTATTCAAGTCTTAGAATTCTCCTCAAGTAATGAAATGGAAATGCTTGAGTCCATTATGATGCCAACTATTAAATGGCAAGTGCTATGAAGTGACGTCAAATGTGACAGCAGATATTGTATCTCTGACTCGTCTCTCTAATGTACCTTGAGACTGTCTGATACAGATACCACGACACGTAATGTTTGTAGCATGGCATCAACAGTTTCATGTTCTCGACATGTTCTATCCCCTTCTATCATTATGATAGGAACTAATCTCCAAATATAAATTAATTTTGTTGTTTATAATGAATAATTGTCATTCATATTGTTAATAACACACTTACTTTTGTATGAGAGATCAATTTTTACTTGATATATCTATATTACCCTTTTATTCCTGATAATTTTACAGTTCACGTTGTGTTTGTAAATATCAAATAATTTTCCACTGGTTATTAACGATAATAAAATACCGATCTATTGTGCAAGTGCGTTGCAAGATTTATAATCGCTAACTCTTGTGTCGCGTCACGTACATCCGGGTGTTATCTGTCCATAGCTTTTGATAACGCATTCATTTCAATTGATAAACGATTTTATTTACCAAAAAAAAGAGTATTAAAAATTTTTTTTTATATCATGTAACACATTTTATCGTTTTATATAAACAATATATTACGTTTATTGATTATTTTTTTTTTACTAAAAGTACACATTATTTTGATAACAAGGTTGATAAAAAATGGAGTAAAATTATACATGTTAAATTTCTGAATGAGTTATTAATTAATTGAATCAAGTTTTATGGATAGTTTGTTGAATGAAAAATGCTTTTAATTAATTTTTTGCCCTAAAGAAAAATTACAATTATTTTTAATTTTGCTTTTGTTACAGTTTCGTTGTTACGGATTCAATAAAATCTATTTGCCAACAAAGGTATCAACTTGCAATGGTAGGAAAGCATCACTGTTATCGAATTACACGAATTCCAATGTGAGTATTCCTATAAATATCAAATGTTAAATCTAACAAATTTGTCACCTCTAGAATTATCTTGCCCAATATATTTTCAATGAAATTCCGTCATTTAAAGTCTTGAAGAGTTGATAAAAAATTATATCTAATAATTCGATCGACAAAATTGAATTATGTAAATTTGATCAGGCTAGCATGAACTCATGAGTGTCAGGTTGAAAATCACATTAGTTTCTAACGATATTTGCTCCGTCGCGCAATTTCGGTATCATTTTATCGCCACCCATCCGTTGTATACTATTGAACGTGTGCTCGCTCAGCTAATTTCGTATTTGCCCGATTAATTCCGGACGTTTAACGGAATTTGATGTTTCGCTAATTATTCTGTCGTGTGCATTTCATATATTCCGAGTGTGAGTGTTCATTTTTATGTCAGCTTGACTAAAATTTCTCTCTAATGAAACTGATATTAAAAATGCAAAACATTCTCTTCTATATGAGCCTCTCATACTTGTAACCCATTCTCTTCTCGATTTTTCAGTCAATATTTTTCAATTAACCAATTATTTTATCTCATTTAAAAACATGCTTTGATGAATTTACTAAAATCATCTGAATTAATCAAGTATTTTAACAACCAATCTTTTTTAATTGACAAATATAATTTATTTCATTATCGAAAATTGACAAAATTATTTGTTAACAATATTTTTTTTTATTTCAAAATTAATTGAAGGGGTAAGTGTAAAAAGGATTTCATTCACAAACTTGAAATTTCATATTTTACCTACAATTGGTAATTAAACTTGTGCGTTTTTATTTTATAAGTTGTATTGAGTTATTATGCAAAACTTTTATAAAGTACATAAATAAAATAATAGAACTTCCTTTGATAATTAAAAATATTTTCTTAAATGTTTTTATTTCTTATACCAATCTTTCCTCATCTAGATGTACTTCTATCCTTCTTGAATTCAAAATTTACCAAAAAAATGTAAACTCAAAAATTGTTAGTTAAATTCTTTTTCCACTCACCCCTTTAATGGATAAAAGTCATTTAAAAAATAAATAATTATTATTGTTGGTATGTAGATAATTTTTTACTGGTAGTGAATATTTATTTTTATTCCAAAGGACAGAGATTAAATTGTTAGCTTCTAGCACAGTGCTAAGTAAACCTAGGATAAACATATCTCAATGTCGAGAAATTAATCTCTCATTTAAATGAAAGATACAAAAAGTGAGATTTTTTTAAAAATATATCATAATGATTTCTTTCATAATAAATAATTCCAAGTATTTTTTGTATGGTAAATAGCAACAATTTGAGATGTTAACATGGTAGTAAGAGTGAAAATACTGCAGTAAGTAGTTTAAAAAAATAAATCAACGACCTCATGTCGCCAATCTCGACGTGGCAACGTTAACTTGGGGTATTATAGTCTGGTTGGGTCGGGACTGTAATGGGTGCTTGGTGCACACTAGTTACACCCTCTTTGTATACATGTGTATGCGCACCCACGCGTTTACGTGTCTGATGATTTATGCATACCACTAATTACCAGAGTTGCATACACCGCGCTGTTTTATTCGACTGCATAGTTTTATTAGAGTCAGGCCATTGTCAGTTTTGTACTTGTCTAAACTACCCTTAAAAAGGCTATTTAACTTTGGTAATCGTTCGTGATTGTGATCATCATTCGTTTCACAATAATTTGCGTTAATGACTTGTACGCACAACCAATCATTTTATTTCTTTATTTAACGATTCTTATCCATTTAATTGTCAATTTAATTTAAATATTGTTTGAACGTATTTTTTATTTTCAATATTTCAAATGATTTAAATGAAAGAGGAATTATTTTTGCGCACAATAAACATTGCAGAACATTATTCATGAAAGATTAAGGATATTGACTGTATCAGAGATAGGTCCAGAGTCGAAATCCTATGGAAATCGAACGATCTTGGCAACTCGACGCCGTTCATTTATAATCGACGAAACGCTTATTACGTGGCATCGGTATCGGATGAAACAGAGGGGTCGTGCGAATTGGGGTAGGGGAAACATAACAGTCTATCGCAACCAGAGCCGGCAATGCCTACTCTAGGTTATCCGATGACAAAGCGGCTTCGGCTCTCTCTCTTTCTCTTTCTGTCTCACTGTTACCACTGGATTATCACTATTGAAAATGCAGCCAAAGCCCCAGTGTTCGGATGCAGCGGCGCTTGAACGCGATACCGTCACGTTAAACCGGTAGTTTAGTCTTTTTGTCTATTTTTGCTTTTCGATTGTCTCTTTGTAAAGAATACTATAGAAAAATTATTTATATTTCAAGAACTTGAATATTTAAATATCCACTAAATTTTCATTAATCTGTGGATTTTTTTTATTTCCTGAAATATTTAACGATAAAATTCATAAAGGATTGAAGGAAAATACTGTAGGGAATCAAATATCATATCTTTGTAAATCTATTTTTATTGATATTTTATTTTTAAAGAGGTAAAAATTTATTTCCCATTGATTTCGAACGTTTCTTTTTTGGTAAATTTCACTTGATTGAAAATATCACTGAAGAATAAATAGAAATGAAACAAGATCTGGGGAAGAGTGAGAAAATAAAAAAAGACAGAGAGAAATTTGTGTGTCAAGCGCCCCTTTGGGACCTTGCTGGGTTAAATTGGTGGCAGTATATTACTGCTCAGAGTCCGCATTTAATTTGAATATAATCGTGAAAGACGATCTCCGAGAGGCTCAACTGAGTTGGCAAGTCGAGTGAGTATACATACACACATAAGCAAACGCTATTGCATACATTTAGCATAGCCCCTAGAACTGCGTGACGTTGACCGGAAGTTGCCCTCAGGACACCGGAAGCAAAATGGCCGACACCACCCTCAATGCAAGACTTAAGTCTAGGTTTCCTCGCAAGTGCGAAATTTACTCGAATTGTGCTCGCTTTACTGAGAAATTGTTGACACTCTTTATTTATATCTTTTTATTCTTCTTATATTACGGTTTAATATCAGAAATAATTGAAGATAATTAGAAATAACTTGAATGTAGAAGGAAAAAAGTGAATCTTGAGGTATTTGTGAAGGATAAAAAAAGAAGATGATGGTATTCTGCACTTGGAAATGGTTTAACTGTATGATTAAACAACTCAGGTGTTTTATGCTTGACTCGGCAAGTGATCGCGTGACTCAACAGCCATATCCGTTTCCCGGTGGCCGACCTCAACGGTCAACCACTACTTGGCTCTTATATAACCTCTGACCAATGGCTCGTGTCCGTCTTAGCGATAATAATCAATTTTGTTAAAGAAATGTTCTCCATCGACGTTTTCGTTAGCTTCACATTACATTGTGACCTTTTACGTTTTACTATAAAATGCTTTTAATTATTTCTCAAGATTAATCTTGGTAACTATTTTTACTTGAAACAAAAAAAAAAAGGTCAACTAAATGTCGAGATCAATTGTGTGTATGCAAATGTCAACATTCTGTTATGTTTTGCGAATTGTGTTGATATTGATGGAAATTCTTCGATGAGAGTATTTATTTGATTAATTAAAATTGACATAAATTCATTGAATAGTTTATTTAATGAGAATATGTAAATGTTGGAATTAAATAAAATTTTTAAATAACTTTGAAAAATTAATTCATCGTGTAAAATAAACTTGGGTTTTCCGCAAGTTCTATTGTGCCTTCTGCAAATCTCTAGTGAATGTTTTCCATGAAATTAGCAAGGATGATTTGCATCTGACGTGCTCGTTCATCCACCGACAGTTCTCTCTACCATCTCACTCCTCTTTATTCCCCTCAACTCTTACGCACGTCTCTGGCATAGTTAGGGAAACTCTGACTTTTGTCGGCAGCACTTCCGCACCGTCCGTCAATTATACTTGCTACGCCAGCTGTAGAAAGGGGATGGAAATCTCAAGTGCCTTAGATCACGATCCTCAACACTCCCTTTCCTTTATTTTCTATACAATTCTATACCTATTCACGCGTTCTCAAGCAACACACGAGCTTTCTTCACGTCTTAGTCAAGCAGAAACAATCGTTCGTTAAACACCTTGACTGCGGATGAATTAAATTATCATCAAGTTGAGATAAAATCATATATAGAAGTTGAGGAAACTCATTGACAATGTTTGAATTTAATTCATAGCTAAAATGTTTTACGGCTTTACCTGTGATTGCATTGTTGACAAGCAAAGCACTCCAGATGATAGACATTTGCTCTTGCTCTCATAACCATCTCGAAAGCAGGAATTATTTTTGAGCATGCTGCACAATAACCAGTGTTGCCAAAAAGTCTGAAATTAAAAAATAGTATTAATCATCTATTTATTCAAGGTATTTTAGCATTGACAAAAATATATGAGCTCCTATGACTCCTAGTTCAATTTTACTGGATTTTAATGATTTATAAAAAATTGGTCCAGTTGATTCACAGTTCAAAAATATCTTATATTGCACTCCATTCATAAATAATCATTACTACTCATGATTTCTTCGAAATTATAAATATTTTATTAAAATCATTTTATTTAATCAAATGAATAATATGTCATTGATTTTCATACATGTCATAACATTAAAACAAATGACAAAATGTGTTTTTAATAAAAATATTATTGGATCGAATAAAATATTATCTTAAGGCTAGGCTTTACTAACCTCAAATCACCTCAAATTTTTCTCGTCAAACTGTGCATTTTTTATTTGTTTTTTTCATGTAAAAAATATTCAGGAATATGTAGAAAAGTGGTATACACATCGGAAAACAAAGATTTATAGTACAAGTTTAATAATAATCGTAGAATAAATAACTGTTCAGTGAATTTTGAGGTGTCATGGCGGATGCACTTGTCATGAGCCCTTCACTGAAAAGTTATTTATTCTACGATTATTATTACACTGGTACGAAAAATCTTTGTTTTCCGATGTGTATGCCACTTTTCTGAATATTCCTAAATATTTTTCACATGAGAAAAACTAATAAAAAATGCACAGTTTGACGAGAAAAATTTGAGGTGATTTGAGGTTAGTAAAGCCCAGCCTTAAGAATACTCCAAGTTCCTTTTATTGATAAAATAAAAAATTCTTTCATTTAACAAAATTTTTATCTCAGTGTAGATTTTATAAAATTAAAAAAAATCATTACTATTTTGATTACCAATCTGTGGATGCCAAACTACTTTAGTTCATCACAACTAAAAATAGTTTACTATGAATGGTTCCGGTATTAATAAAAGTAATGAAAGTAAAAAGAAATAAAATAAGATTGAATGTTTCATTAAAAGATATAGAGCTAATAAATTTGTAGAAAAGTAACACATAAATGTTCTTCTCAAATATTGGGCCATTAATAAAGACCACAATTTCAATAGTTTGTACTCTCACAATGGCACCTGTGTGTTTCCCTCGGGATTCTGTAATCTCAACACGCTTTATTTACTCTCTTCTATCCAGTGCTCTCTTCCGTATTAAACACCCTCTGCTTCTTCTCTTATACCAATCACCCTATGACATTTGCTACTCGAGCATTTATTCAATAAAAGAAATTCATCTGTAAAATTCGATTTAGGATATCGCGTCTTATGTTGAGTTTATTGAGTTTTCCCGTACATGTAAAGTTAAATGAAATTTATTACTGCCAATTTACCTGAGATAATCACGCTTGCAAAGAATCAAGTTTGCTTTTGTATATAAAGTTGATCCTACTTCCCCTAGTCTACAATCACAGCAACCACACTTCAAGCAGTCTTCATGCCAAAACATATCCAGAGCTTTTAGAAGGTATCTGAAAATAAGTTTAATCATCAGAATAAATTCTTAACAAAAATATTAAATATTATGAAATTGAATTTAATAATATTACATTAGATGTAATGAATAAAAATGGTTGAGTTATAAATAGAAAAAGAACCTTTCTGTAATTGGTTTTCCACATCCAGCACACTCTTGGGGAGTAGTTCCATTTTTGTTGGGTTCACTCTTGCTCACGTCCATCGTCATCTCGTTATTTTACCTGCAGAATGAGATAATTTAATAATTGATTTCACTCAAGTGTCACTAAAATTAACATTTGACTATGCCAATCTCACGACTATGTTTGAAATGGAATGAAATAATCATGAAATTTAATCAATAGCTTTTTGATGTACGATTTCTCTTAAATCTGTTGAATTATTCGGTGAATATTAATTTGCAATGATGTATAATATTAAATTCCTTCATTTCTCTGCAATTGTCATAAATACACGGATAGAAGAGATTTTTAATACACGGAGAGAATTTTTTTATTAAACGTAAGTGCAAAAATGACAAGCCCACGTGAATTTTGGGTTGTTGTAAGTAATTCTTTTACTAAGGCACCTTTTAAGTCACAAGTTTACTTACAAGAACTCCAAATTTACTATCGAACAGAAATATTTTTACTGTGGGGTTACAAAATGATTTTTTTTTCTAACTGTAAACAAATATTTCATCACAGTGAAGAAGCCTTGAGTACAAAAAAATTATTCATTTAATGATAATAAAAAGCCTTGAAATCAGTGGATATAGTTGCAAATTGGCTGATAAATCAGTCATTTCCCAATTCCTTGGGATTTTCTGGTGAGAAACCAAAGTAAAGCCCAGCTTTAATAATTACAATAATTTTTCAACTATTAAAAAATATTGTTTGTACAATAACAAGCAATGTGTAATAGTTAATATACGATTTTTTAGCAATTAAAAAATCTCTTTAATTATTACAAATCTCTTCTATCAGTGTAGCTTTTATCAAGTTTCAACGGCAGCTGCCGGATCTGAGTTCTCGGGTTGTCTATGAGTAATTAGAGTTACGAGGCCTGAGAATTTAACCGCGGTTCGTGCCATCTGTGTCCAAGCGGAGGTGTGTGGTCAGAGTTTAGAATCGAATTAGTTTGACCCCCTCTTCAGACTGTGTTTTGCCCTTGCGACAACCGTTATCTACTCGACATTTAAATGCCTGGTTTTCGACAAGTGCAGTTAGTCAGGCGACGGCTGTTTCTAACTCTGTTACTAAATACATCCATTAAAGAGACATTTGTCATTTTACTGAAATATTAGAACTTCATGTATTAAACTTTCAAAACTGTTCAACTTGGATTTATTCAGTAGTAAAAAAAAAGCATTTCTCTGATGTTCATTTCCAAATTTATTGTCTCATCAATTGACTGACACTTGATTGATAAATTATCGACTGATTTTTTATCATTTTTTTATAACATTTGTGTTAAAGTAAAATAGCACACTAGATTGTTTAGAAAATGAGAAAAAGTTGAAAGACAAAATTTATTTGGAAACTCAGTCAACTTAAACTATATGAACAAAGTTCCTTGCGGTTTCAATAGGTCTGTTCTGGACAATATTACCAGAATGTTAATATCTTCTTGTGGTAAAACTTTCATGCAAACACATTCTCCAACCCTTTGATCTTTGAATTAAACCATCATAATAGAATAACTCTAAATGCATATCTATATATTATCTACAAATATTTATTACAAAAAGATATTTATTCTATTTGAATTTTCATATGTAGGAAGAATAGTTTTTGAAAGTATTCAATTCAGTTATTTTCTCTTAGAGGGTTACCATAGGAATCTAGCCACGCAAATTCCTGTGGCAGAAGCTTTTGCCACAGGATTTACAATGCTTGACCTTCAACTAAATCATTTTTTTTCTCATTTAATAATAGTCTGTGATCTATATAATTTTATTTTAATTAAAAAAAAAATGGATAAATTATTTTATTTTGCTTTTTAAAAATATTTAATCAGTTGGAATGATATCGATAAGATGAACGGTAACATATTGAATACAAAAATTCATTAAACGAATTGAATCGTCGATTGAGGGATGTGGAATGCTTGTCAGTCCGTGATCATGTCCAACGTTAAGGGGGTTGAAGTCCATAACGAGAGTTAGGGGTGTGGATCAGAGCGGGAGAGAATGACATGCCTGGGCACTACACGGAAGTGGTTCGCATCGCTGGCAATTTGTCCATCGGCCACGTGATCCGATCATCCACGGGCCCTGATCTTCAAAGCAATGATAATTCGATTAGCTACTCTGCACGTTCATCAACCGCTAACCACTGTATCCCGGCCAACCGATATACTACCCTCTTATAGCTTGCCCTTCTTCTCTATGTGTTACTCTCAAGAGTGTTTCAACCCTGTTGTATCGGTTGGATCGTTCAAAGACATGTTATTGATTCTTCTTCTTTTAATAGTATTTTTTTTCTCTTTTTTAATTAGCATTTGATGTATCTGAGATTAAAGAAAAAGAAAACAATTGCAATTTAATTGTGATATTCTTTATAAAAATGGAGGAATGAAGAACCATTGGATGCAAAATACAAGGATAATTTATTAAAAAATATCTTGTGATAAAAAAAATAGCTTTAAAAAAGAAGAATGTAAAATATTTTGACTTTGAGATGCGTTTATTTCTTTGCAAAGCTCATCACCACTGCCTTCTCTCCCCTCATCTCACACTCTATAATGTTAACTAAAACTAATACACACTGATTGAAAACGAAATGAACAAAATCACAAGCATTCTATTCAATCTTATCTATAACCTTAACTTTTCTTAGACAACGAAATAAAAAACAGTATATCTGCACATAGAAAAAATGTAATTTAATTTGAAAAGTCTGGACAAGTTAAAAATGAAAGAAATTCATCATCAATAAGATTTTTGAAGAAATAATATTAGAGATAAATATATTTGAGAAACGATGCAGCGCCGGCTCTGTGCAGTATCTAAAGCTCCGCCCCTTGGACCACAGAAGCACCACCTCCAGAATCCTATCATCTTTTAAAATAATTCTAAAACGAAGCGAAGAACCTCGGTATGACAGAATGAAAAAGCAGAGAATAATTATTATTTCAAGATGTACTCTTCAAGGTTATTTTTGCTCGCTTATCAGCATTTTATTTTTTATATCAGCACTCGTGGCATCCGGGGTCGGTTCATTAATTAACTGTAAGCGCATTAAGCTGGGCATTAATAGACTCGGGTCCAATGTTTTGTTTTATCCTGCAGGAAAAGGAGAAAGGAAAAAGAGGAGTCTGCGCTCTTAAGGGGGTGGTTTTTGAAGAGAGAGAGAGAGAAAGAGCAATAGACACACATACATATACAAATTCAAGTGAGCTTAATCCATAGCCTTATCCTGGTGAGAGAGAGAGAGAAATGTTTAAATTCTGCAAATCGCTCGTACTTTAAAGCTCTACTTTCGAGAAATTAAGGAGATAAGACCGATAACGAGCTCGTTTCCGCCCCTTACATTTTCCACCGGGAATGTCATGAATTCTGCTATTCTTCTATAATGAAATGGCAACCTAGATCTCTTCATTCTGCCATCTTGAAAGAGTTATCTGCTTAACTGTTTTCTTTCAAAAGAATGATTTTTATTTTCGGTCTCATTAATTATATTTATTACATCTTTTTAAGGTAATTTTCAAAGAAAAGAAACAAATGAATATTTTGCATAAAATAAATCTTAAATGCTTGAATTTAGAGGAAGAGATATAACAACTATATGGCTACTGGAATTCTCGTTTGCTCGGCATTTGGGTCTTTACTAATGGGGAGGTAATTTAAGGGATGTTTTAAGCTTTCCAGCCACACGTGAGCCGCACAAAAACTTGCCACATTACCTGCCACCCCGTTCTAACACAATCGGCTATTAGCATTCTAAATTACTTGAAAAAGATATCGTTAAGGTTTTACAAATAATTTATTTTCATTTTAACTTGTGACATTGCAATTTATATTTCACTCTGAATATATATATATATATATGTTTAAACATTTTTATTAAGAGTAATAAAAATTTATTTGCATTTTTTTCTTTGCAAAAAAAAAAAATTGACAAATTAAATATTGACTATAACTATTGCAGTATTTTCAAGTTAATATCAAATAAAAATTCGTTTGTATTTTATGTTTATGGCAAATTTTAAATATGACAAAAGAAAAAAATTGTAATGGACTAGGAATTTTTAGGTGACAATACTCCAGCTATTGGGAGTACAGTTTAGGGTGGCTTTACCCCTCAGAGCAAGGGTATAGTCTAAAATAGGGTGGTGTGCAGTCAGATTACGTTAAGCTATGCTCGTACGTGCTCGCGTGGAAGTTCGCTACTACCTCGATCCCTTTAACCATCCCCTTGTATTTCCTCCTTCCATTCTATGCGGGCGCAAAATATATTTATTGTTGTTTGTCCAGTGTGGCGCGTGTGCCCACAGTTTGTGTCGGAGTAAAAAATCGTACGAGCGTCCACGACGATGTCAGGCATAAATTCAACTACACCCTGGTATTCTCTTTGCCAAGCGAGACATTTTTAACCATTACCTTTTTTAAAGCTAAATGTAGCTTGAACTCACTTTAATCAATTTTTTTCTCCAAACCAAAAATACATGAATAAATTGACACATTTATTTTTACAATTTTCTTGTTCATTTTTATTCTTAAATAAAAAATGATTTGATTTAAATAAATAACTGTTATCCCGAGTAAAAATGATCAGTTTTTGGGCGCGCCTAAAGAAGACCCAATTCAAGTCCAAATGATTTTTCAGGCCCATAACGCGCCCAAATCAAGCCTAAAACTATTTCGCAGGCCTAAAACGCGCCCAATTGAAGCCCAAAAATATTTCGCAGGCCTAAAACACGCCTAATTGAAGCCTAAAACTATTATTGTCATCATTGTCGAATATGATCTTAGAAAATGGGCTTGAATTGGGCGCGTTTTAGGCCGAGAAAATATTTTTGGGCTTTAATTGGGCTCCTACAAAATTTAGGCCTGTAATGGGCTTGTTTTGGGCACTGAAAATTTCTCTAAGTCAAGATTGGGCTTCAATCGGGCCTGTATTGGGCTTTTTTTTCATTTTGGGCTTCTTTTGGGCCTATTTATTTTTACTCGGGTAATTAGATCTTAAATAAAATTAACATTAATGAGATATTAAAATTGTGTAATTTTATGATCTAGTTCTCAGTCGATAAAAACGGAAGATTTTCTGATAATGTCTGGATAAAATTACGTTCGACTTATTTGGAAGATAATTAGTCGAACGAACGTGATTGTTATCGATACGCCAGAAGCAGAGTCCAACGATTCGTAGCAGTCGTGTACAGTGATGCGGGCAGTCTGATGACAAAAGGACTGTGACTACTGGGGAAACTTTTATCTCGTCGGATTAATGGACGGATTAAGGTATTTGCGGGTGGGACGTTGCTCGATTGGGGTAGAAATCGAGAGGATGGAGATGAGAGTGGGGATTAGTACTTGATTGGCTAATTTGTAAGTGTCTCTCACAGTTTGATATCAACTTCATCGATTACTCAATATATTTTTTGTGGTTATCAGTTTAGTAACAACCAAAAAACATTGGTAATATTAATAACGAATTTTAATCCATCACAACATCAACTTCTATGAAAGAAAAAAAAAATTTCGAATGTTTTCAAAATAGTTAGATAATTACTATTTAAATATGATTACTATAAATATAAGCTTGGGTTGAGTAGTGTGAGAAGGATGAAGGAATATTAGTTAAATTATTTAGAGAAAGTGAAACATCTGAAATAGGATAGAGAAAGGATGAGTTAATGTGCGGTGAGCGTAAGCGGCTGACCACTCAGCTGATTTACATCGCACCCTTCATCGGAACAACGAGTCAGAGGCGTCCGAGAGAAGCTCGTGGTCAAGTGAGGGATGTAGTGTGTGATTGAAGCACCGGTTATCATTAAACAAGTATCCTGAGAACATAAAACAAAACGGAAGTCACTAAATTCTAAAGAAATCTATCTAAAGATCTAAATAAGTAGTATAGATCAATAAATGTCAGGCATTGAATGTTTGTTTTAAGAAATATGAGTTTATCTTTATTTAAGGTAGTCAGTAGCTTCCTAAAGGTCTACTGAGGGGCTCCAAAATATTCATTCGACATTCGACCCTTCAGCAATACCAAGAGAGATAGAAAATGAGCAAAAGAGAAAATAAGATAAAGTGACAGCGGTACGAGGGGCAGCACGCGAAATATTTTTCGTTCGATTTTCAGTGGTTGAAGGTAAATGAGAAAATATGAAGGGGGAAAAGGGAGACAGTTGTTGCTCGCTTGTCCAGACGTTGGCGTTTCCGGTTTCCTGTCTCCTTAACAATTCGCAACCAGTCGTGGCCAGACAGTAGAGACAAAACCTGGTGTGACGGACCAAGTAGATAAGGACCATTCACAAAGACAAAACGTACAGACTACCCATCCCAATACTCAGGTTATATCCAGTGTTTAAACAATACTCGCAACTTTTATTATTAATGTACAAGATAGCAGTGCATTTTATGTATTTTATCTCTATTTTTTCTGCATTCTTTTTCTCTGCTTGCAGTACTTTGATAACCAAACTGTTTTGCATTCATGTTAGCATAGTTAACAAGCAGTTTCCCAGGTGTTTTCGTTAGTTATTTTAATAATGATTTAATTAGCATTCCAAGCTAAGCTAAGGAAGTTGCTCTAGCTTTGTAGAATCCCCCAAGAATGCTAATTAATGATATTCCTTTATCTTTCATCTTTATTTGAAATTTTTATAATTTACTGAATACTTTCTTTCAACTTTGTAACTATGAGAAAATTGTTACATTACCAAAGCTGATGGTCCAGTTGACTTTGCCTAGGTTGATGGTTGAGGTAAATTCTCTAGCATATCTAATGTGCAAGAAGTGACAGGAGTGAATTAAAGCCGGGAAATCTGTTAAGAGGTAAGCCTTTGGTCCTAGGGATTGCATCTTGACCAAAGTGGTGGTTACCTTCCTTACTTGCCAGCTTGTTACTTGGACTCTTGATTTGTTAGCTGATGGTGGGTTTTGACCATCTAAGAACCTTACCAGTTCTCTTGATAAATAATAGATGGATATGAAATAAGACCCTTCAGAATAATTGATGATAGTCGGTGATATTTAAATGAATATTCGAAAATTTGAAATGTTTATTTTCAATTAATTGCTTCATAAAGTTTTTTTATTTAGGTTTATTAATAACAGATGAACTCAATTTTTCAGGTATAAAAATTTCATTTTAACAAATTAATAAAAGTGTCTAGTAAAAGCTGAAAGTTATAATCAAATTTTTAAAAATTCATACATATAATTGAATTTATAGTTTTTACCAGAAATAAGAGTTAACTAAATAAATAAAATAACATTTTTCATAGTATTTTCTACAATGAAATATTTTCCTATTATCAATATTAGTTTTCTAAAGTATAGATGTACATTTTCAATTAATTTCAATTTAGTTATTGTTTAATATCATGTGATAAATTTTTTATTTACTCACACTTATTCTTCAGGTAGGATTAATTATAAAAAGACAAGTTTATTTTTGAAGAATATTATCTTAGGAGGGTTGGATGTGGAACATTAGAAAGTAGCAATTACTCGAGAAAAGCTATTCTTGCTGATCTGCCACCCATTAAAGACCTAAGTAAAGGCTGACCAAGCAACTGTCCTATTACTATCACTGATGGTGTACATAATTATCTTGTGAAAGAGGGGAGACACGCATCCACCGTGTCAGCAATGCTCATTCACTGCTATCGGATGCCAAGTAGACTTGCTACCCTTCTGCTTACAATCCCTTTGCCCAAATGCATTCAGTTTGGTCAGAGATACATTTTTTGACATCCTTTGTTGCAATACGAGACATTATCAAACCCAAAAATGTCTAACCTAAAATGATTGTTGGTAAAAATTTTTTATATTTCAGGGATTCTTGATGTGGTGAAGGAATTTGATTTAAATAACATTTGATGAAATGATTGGAATATCCAAAAGTGTCTACAACATAAAGAATATAAGTGTGAATTTTGGTATGAAAGAGTCATATTTGAAGGGATATTTAGTGGCATGAGAAGGCAGAACATCAAGACTAACGCTATGAGTAGACATATATACATTGTAGTAGGATTCCCAAAAGAGCGGCTGGCCGTCGACAAAAGCACCATCGGTATAATAAAACCATTAGAGTGATCCTCGTACGTGCATTCAAAGCGTATAAATATCTAGTGAAATCCCTCACGCCGTTTCCAAGTTCTACGTAACATTCAACTCGTGATAAATCCAAGGTACCTACTAAAATCCGCGGGGAGGTTTAGAGAGTAGGTGAAAATATACTGTCCCTAGTGTTTTACGAATTTTGTGAGCTTATGTTGCCTAGATAGGTCGATAGTTTGCCAGCGACTCTTTTATATTAAACGTGTGTATAAATATTTCTCCCTCTAGATTTTTATTACTTTTCGGAAGGATGACAAAGCTGTCAATGAATTATTGAAAGTATTGTCCACTTCTGGCTGTGACAAAAATAAAATCATAAATGCTTGGTAGATAAAATAAATGATATGAAGGAAAAACTCTTCGGCAGATTTTTAGAGGGTTGATAGAATGTTAAGGGTAAAGTCTGCAAGCTCATGTGTCAGTCAAGCCTGTATAAAAACTACAGGTTACATCTCAACAGTAGAAGCTTATCGGAGTCTCGCGGTACATTAAGCACGCCTGTGTCGTTTTCACCCCCGCGACCAGAGTAACGAAGCCAGGGGGTGAAAAGCAAAGGGTGGCGGACGTCTCTCCAAGAGATTATCTTGTCGTATTCAATATTCCTATGAAACGTCCTGGATGATAAATCATTTTGGTCTGATAGCAAAGGACCTAGACTTCCGCTAGTTTGACGAATTTCTTTTTCAACTCCCTCATATTATTATTTTCTGGTCGTTTATAGATTTTTGTATGAAAAGTATCTTCACTATTGGATCTATTCTTTCAGATACTAGGATTTTTTTGGCTTTTATAAACAACATTTCGTTAATCTCTGAACAACAAAATCCGTTGAATCTATTTATAATTTACTGTAGATTATTTTTGTATTGATCATTTTTTTTCTTTATCCAGGGTGGGAAAATTGACAGACACTCTATTTCCTTGGATTAGGAGACAAACGGATGGTGAAAATTAATAAGCAACGACAGCTTTATGATTCGTGCATGAACAGAGGAAAAAGGGATGTATGAAGGGAGGAGAATGATGACCACATCCGATTCTATCGTGAACGTAAGCTCAAAGAAAGGGGATGTGAATGTAAAACGTCGTGTCAATGTCTGTCGATAAATAATCAAAGGGTTGTTAACCGTAAAATTTCTCTCAGTAACCTCACTAAAGACTAGAAGTATGTATAGAGGGTATTTTGAAGCACGTGACAATCCTTCGAATATCCGAAACCCCTTGTCGATTCTGGAGATGCAAAAGATGGGCAGGAAGGGTGATGTTAGTTTCCGCAGCATTGACGCACGACAATATAACCCTGATGCCAGTCGCGACACCAACCCCATTTGTGTGCTCACCCTTAGACGATATCTTCGTTGCCTTGAGTTGCTTTAGAGGATCTTCATTCTTCATCTTCCTCGCTGTTTCCTGCTAAACTTACGGTCACACTAAAATATGTCGTAAAATGCTTCATTGTATAGATTTAAAGAATTTTTAAAAGCTTTCAGTGAAAAAGTAAAAAACAATATTTTTCTTTTCCAATCGTTTCGTTCAATTATTTTACAAAATTAAATGATTCCTAATGTGTCAAATTTTTTAATAACAATATTTATATAATAGTTTCTACATCATCAATACATTTTTGCATCATCACCATTACCTTCTGGTTCTTCTGGTATATCTTGACCAACAGTTCTAGGCATATACCTTGGCATTGGCATTTTGGTAGGTGCATAAGGAGTACCAACTTGAGGAATACCTGCAAATCGTGATCCTGTTTGTGGAGCTCCAAAAGAAGTACCCATAAACGAACTGCTTGTACCAGGATAATTGTCGTTACTTGGAGTAAATGATGTTTGATTTTGGGGTAAAGAGTAAGGATCCATAACAGAAACACTCGTTAATGGTGGTGTGTTAATTAAAGTATTCAAATCAGTTGAATAATTTTTAGCCATTCGAGCAATTACTTCACCTCTTAGTAAAGAAACTCCATTTGGAGAAGCTAGATCTTTAAACCAATTTATAATTTGTTTTATTGACAATGAATATTTTTTATGAGATGAATTTGGAGAATAGATAATCAAGTCATTATTGAGATACTGTTTTGTAGCAGTTAATTTTGATGCATAGGCATTAAATGTTGCAGCTAATTTATTGTAATTCATTACCTTTTTGACATACTTAGAATTCAATCGATTTATTAGTGTCATTTTTTCCAGTGAATCTGGTAGCTTTTTACTAATTTCTATTTCATCTTTAAGACTCTTCACTCTCTCATGTGCAACTATCATTTCATTTGCTAAATTATGTATTTCGAGAAAATCATTCCCAATACTTTCAATAATTTTATGTAATTTCGTCGTTAGTTTTTGGTACTCTGAATCAACATATTTAAATGAATAGCCCGGTGTATTCGTAGAGGTGGCTTCAGAAGTTGATGACTTTAAAAGTCTCAAGTAATTAGCATAATGTTGATCTAAATCACCAAAATAACCTGATAATTTTTTCGTTAGATTATCTACAAAGTCTGACATTATTTTTACATTATTATGTATTTGTTCTAATTCTGAGTTAGCTGTAGTAGACATTGTTGTTGATGTTATAAAAAGAAAATTCCTGTTACAATTATTTCTCTAAATGAAGTCAAATATTTCTTAACTAATAAAATACTCATTAATTCAATTTGTTATGGTTGAGTACTTGCACTCATTCTTGCTTGAGGTATTGACATGATAGCAATTGGAGTTAAGTTTAATGATGTTGTATCTAATGGTACTATTGGTGGACGATTAGCAGCTAGTTTCTGTTTTAATTGATTTCTTAGTTTTGATATCTCATCATTGTCACCAAGACGATTCCACCAATCTTGTAGTTGCTCATATGATATTGAATACGATTTATCACTCGTCTTTGAAGAAATAACAATAAGACCTCTTTCTAAATTACTAACTATAGTTTGAAATTCTAATACACATGTATTGAATTCGTTAGCAGATTTATTGTATTTGTCAACAGTTTTTCGATATTTTTTATACAACTTACTTAACTTTTTATTCTTTTCTAATGACTCAGACAGTTGTTGTGCATTATCAATATCATGCATAATACTGACACATTTTTGGTAATAAAATATAACATCTTTACCAGTCTCTGCAGCGTATTCAAACTCACCAGAAATATGTTTAGCAATTTTCTTCAAAGTTTTTTCAAGATTTCTATACTCATAATCAATTCGATTGAACGTTTGATCTGACAAATTAAGATTGAGATCTGGAGAATTCCCACTTAGATTATTGTGAACTTTTAAATACTCAAAATAGTAAGTTCTTAATTGTCTAAGATATTCATTTACTGTTTGATGAACACCACTGACTACTTGTGATAATATTATTCGAAGATTTTCTTGTACTTCTAACAGAGGATTGTGTGGTTCAGCCATTATTTATATCTCTACTAATAATAAATAAAATAATCTTTTTCTTCTCGTTATAGATGAAAATTTTTTTTTGTTTTAAATCATTATTAAAAAAAGGTCATTTCTAATAGAAATCATAATCTTTAGAGACAACGAATCTATTTGAATGATGAGATTAACGGTATTGAATATACCTTCAAATTGTTAATCAATGACATTTTGAAAGCCACAAAATGCTGATGAATATCGTACTGAATCAGGTGGAAACTGGACTACCTCATGGATGTTGAAACGTTACTGTATATAGTCGTTGATCAGAAGCATCACTATCAGTCGTTTCCGGTTCACCGGGCTATGGCCGACATGCGGTACACAAGATGGCGCCGGTTTGCCGATGCACCGATCCCTCTTGTCGGTGCATATGCGCCCATTTGATTTACGGCCATTCAGCTAGAAAAAATACCGACAAACACTGCCCTCGCAACTAAAACGTTCGATCAGTTTTCGATTGTTAGGTCTTCGTTGCTTGATAAAAAAAAAAAATAATAACTCCATCTGCCAAACGTTTGTTGATTATTTCTTGTCATCATTCGATCGTGAATTTTTTCCATCATTTTAATGATTTTATAAAATGTTTCCACTGATATTCCAGCAATTAAGATTGAGTTGAATATCATTCTTGATGATTTAATATCAACAGTGATTCATATTGTCCACAAAAATTTTTAAATAAAATCAGTCGAGGTTTCTTTTTTTTTTTTTATTAATGACTAGACTGCATCAGTACCTTTGGCCGTTTAGCAAACAGACAGAAAATAGAGCGCAACCGCATATAAAGAGTCGATGATAACGAAATGATATATGACTTGGCGTGAATAGCACATACGAGAGAAAGAGAGATATGAAGGGAAATAAAGAGAGAGAAGAACCGTGTACGAAAATGTGGAGGCAACGTATATGAGTATGGCACACAGCAGGAAAGAGAAAGGTTATATGGGGTTTGGTGGTGATTGATCGGCCTCGAGATAACGCGCGATATTCGCCGTAGGATTAAGTGAATGTGGGAACACTTCATAATTCCGGTGGCCAGTTCAACGGAAACCGGCTACCACGATGGTTTATTCAAGTAGAAAACATCAGTCATGCCTGGAAAATCAACTTGGACTTTTAATTAATGTCAGAACTTTGCTTAAACTAATTAATGTTTTTTTTTTTAATGTAAATAAGAATTAGATTTTAAGGGTTTAATTTCTGTCAATTAAAAGATAGACATGTCAAACTTTTTTTTATATTAAAAAATTTCTATTATTAAATCATAACAACAATTAGTGTTTTTTTTTTTTTTAAATCATATGTTCAATTTTTGTTGATTTAAATTCATGATGTCGAATTGAATTCGTTCTCAAACTAATCAAATAGATATGTGAATGCAACGTACGTGACTTTTGATTGCAATAAAAATTCAAATTCAAGTTGATAGATAATTTGTCTGTATGACAATATTCATAATATTTATAGCTTCAATTAAGATGATTAAAAAAAAGTCATTTTATCACAATGTTCTTTTAGTGAACTGGACAATTTCCAATTTAATGAACCATCACGCAATTATGTCATAATGGTTATCGTCGATCTAGAATATATTTTACATCAGTTATCGATTCAATTAAGTAAAAAGTTTTTATGGAAGATGGATTAAAAAATTTCCAACACTTGTTTTATTTTTTTTTCTTTTGATATATCCAAGTGCAGTGATGTATCTAATAAGAAGAAAAGCTTAAGATTGATGAATTCAATTACACAATTTGTAACAGTGCAACGAATTGGAATAATCCTAGGGATGTAATGAAGCTCATAGTCTAGACATTCGATATTCCACGTACGTATAATAGCCGGACATGAGGCTCGGGGATCTTTAAATTATTCAAGTCCCCAGCTCGTTAGGACGAGATTGAAGCAAGATCTACGTACATTTCAAGCTTGGTCATTTCATCCTTCTCAGTCTCTCTTACACACCTGATGCTTTACCATATGATACGTTATAGAATGTGCTTGGCTTTGCTATTTGATATCCTCGATTTCCAAATCAATTCCGCAATTAGGTTCAGCCATTATTCCGTCAAAAGACCGGAATGGTAATAGATGCTTTAATTTACTAGAGATTTAGTGCAATTATCTTTGAAAATCATGGAATTAATTTATTAAGCTGTTTAATTATTTTGTATATTAAATATTAAATCATCCATTAAACATCATGGGAATTTTGTTGAAAACAAAAAATGGTGATTTAAGAAATAACCAATGATGTATAAGTGGAGTGAGGTAATGTTAAGATTATTTAAGAAAATCGTTTATAATATTTCTCAATTTGAGAAGAGAAAATAGCAGTTATATCGCGATATAAACGACTAGAGAGACATCCGTCATGATACCCAAGACAAGCAAATGCGTACGAGAGGCATAAAGGTAGCCCGTAACTTCTCGTTTCCCCTGGAGCTTTCGTTTCTAATGCGAATTTCCGCGATACTGCCTGCCTTAACTGCGAATGCGTACATCAAACTTTATGGCCACGCGAGACTTGAGATTTCTCCCCTATTGTCTCATCTCAAGAAAACAAAGAGGAGTTACTTGTGTGCTCTGATACAGAAAGTGCAAAAAAATTGAGCTGTTATAGACACTCTGAGTAATCGAGGGTAACCTTGAACCCTCAAAGCTGTAATTGAACCGAGAAATTTGCTTTTCCTATCCCTAACAGTAAACTTGAAATTCATTTAACAGCTTTATCAGCTGTTACAGTTTGTTTTCAAGTATTTTTTAACATTTTTTTCTCAAATGCTGAAATTTGAAATAAAAAATGTAGGCTAGTATTAAACATTTTTTTTGGCAATTAATTTATTTTTAGATGGATGGAAAAAATCAATTTTATTATCACCAATAAGTGGATAATAAATATTATAAATGATTATTTAGAGAGTTATCTTAATTTGTATCAAAGGAAAATTAATATTTCAAGTTGAAAAACATGTCTCGGACAATTTCTTCCCCTTGCTCATTTTTCTATCTGAGTCTGCCTCATCCTCAACATTTCATGTTCCTCTAATCGACTACCCTTCGCATAATATTTAATTTTTAATCCAACAGTATTCAAATGCAGTCTTTTCTCTCGCTTCTCTTCTCATTCTTACTCTCCAAAAGCTCGCGCCTAATGGGAATACAATTTATACTCGAGCCACGGCTTATTTTACATTTATGCTAAATATCCTGTGTTCTTTTTTCTTTCCATCGCAATTTGACTCTTTTTTTCAAAATTCTTTTAGCATTATAACGAACTTTAGTATTACGAATAATTATTTTTACTTTTACTTTCAACGTTAATAGAGTCATTGGAAATGTAATTATCATCAGTTTCATGCAATTGCTTGTCTCGTTTGATTTCTAGAAATGCCATGACCACCTCTATACGCTCGGTTAAGACAGACAAATGTGTTCTGGTCAGTCGGGGCTCGCTTGCCAGTGGGACGAGAGATTTACAAGTTTAGTTAGTGGCGATCACACCCCCGGGAATAGTCTGATAGCTTGTTCTACCAAGCTTTGTCCAATACAAGTCTTGGTCTTCTATCAAATTCATCTGCTTACTTTTCTACATCTAAATCAAAATAATTCCATTTTAAATTTTATCTTTTAAATGATTAAATTTTTAAAAAGACAAAATAGAAATAAAGAGAAATCTTTTGATGGTAATGGAACAAAATGAGTAGCACGAAATCTCTAGACATGGGCTAACAGTTATAGATAACACTCCCGTTATGTGTCATTTTTTCTCTGTCACTTATGAATGACCATCCACGGATAAGCTTAGACGTAAATATATCGCCTAGGACTGTCCAAGTGTCCCTGGAGCATTCGTTTGAATTATTTTATATCCCGCTATTTTTTATTATCAGAACTCGGGCACAAGCGATACTGGTTTACTCGTGGGATCAGTAAAGTGACAGAGAGGATTATTTTAGTCGATGTTATAGCATGGAATGGTAGTGTAGAAATAGCTGTCTCGAATCGGCCCGTTTGCCGGCCAAAACCGCGTCACATAATGGGAAAATTTGCGTAAATGGCGGGATCATTAAACGCCCCTTGTGCATGAGAGAATGGCAAGATACGTGTGGGGGGTGGAAGAGGGTCAAGTGGCAACAGGGGGTGAGAACGCCTGGGATACGTTGCGGGGGCTATAACTCGCGGTAATACCAACCTAACCGTGTACCCATGATTATAACGCTGCCAATTAGTCAAGCTGGCTTACGATGCCGACCTACCCTCAGGATATTGTCCTTTGCTTCTCACTCCATTCCTACTATCTCTTGTCTTCCCTATGTCTCATGCTAATGCTCTACAAACAATATTTTTATTCAATTGCTTCACCTCTTATCGATTGGCAGAACTATTTCCAACATTTACATTATTTTAAACTTCAATATTTAATAAGAACATTTCCAATAATTTCTTTTGTTTATCTAACCGAAAAAAAAATATTTATGTTTATTAAATGTTTATGACACATTTAATTATTTAATTATTAAAATAGAATTATTTAAATGTTAATAGAAAACCAGAAATTAATTTTACAGCCAATTGATGCAGAAAAGAATTTTAATCATCGAATTCTAACTAGAATCAATTGTCTCTCAAATAATATTTTATATAGCATATCAAATAAATGTGTGCATGATTTGATTGATCGCTTATTAATTAAATACCCAAACTTCTACTGATCATATTAATTAATTAATTAATTATTATTCAAATATTATCAATTAATAAATCAAACTAAACGAATTTATGGTATTTAGGTGTAGTTGGAATGATGATAATTTAAAAAGATTAAATAGGAATACAAGAGAATGAAATTGCCACATGTGTTTCACCACAACACAATCCAGAGCTCACGACAGTAGAATTGTAAGTTAAGTTAGCATCCTTGAGGCACAAGTTTGGTAATTATTTAACTAAATTGCGAGTCAGCATGTGCTACCTTGATTATATAAAAATTCGGATAA